ACGACAATGGTAGAAATTAGGTAACAACACTGGAGCAAAGGCACACTCCCAGTGAGGAAGCACGGCCTGCAGACATTGTTATCCATGTCCTCACTTGTTCATTTTTATTTATTTATTTACTTTATTTTTATCAAGTCTTTCTCTCAACAGAGGGACTCAAGGCACGATGCAAGTTACAAACAAAGCATGTAAATATGAATATAACAACTACAAAACAACTGAATATTTGTGTCATGAGCATAAAAATTAAAACACACTACAAATACAATTAAAATGTTGTTTTAAAACTAGATATCTCCCCTTTGAATGCCTGATGACATAGGTATGTCTTCATTTGCCTCTGAAAGGCAAGCAGTAATGACCTTCCACCCCCACCCCACCCCCCAGGGAGTTGGAAGATATCCCAAGTGCCATCCAGTCCAACCCTATTCTGCCAGGCAGCAACGAACAATTAAAGCATCCATGACAGATGGTCATCCAACCTCTGTTTTAAAACCTTCAGAGAAAAGAGACTCCACAAGACTCCCAGGCAGAAGCATATTCCACTGCCAAATAGCTCTTACCACCAGGAAGTTCTTCCTAATGTTTAGGTGGAATCTCTTTTCCTGTAGTTTGAATCAATGCCTACACTGCATCCTAGTCTCCAAGGCAGCAGAAAGCAAGCTTGCTCGTTCCTCCTCTATGTGATATTCTTTCAAATGCTTAAAAATTGCTATCATGTTCCATCTCAGTTTTCTTTTCTCCAAGCCAAATACACCCAGCTTCTCGTAGGCTTGGTTTCTAAACCTTTGATCATGCTGGTCATCCTTCTATGGACATCAGCTAGCTAGCTTGTCAATATCCCTCTTGAATTGTGATGCCCAGAACCAGACACACTGTTATTCCAAGTGAGGTTTGATCAAAACAGAAGAGAGTGGGACTATGACTTTCCTCAATCTCAACACTATACTCTTATAGATGCAGCCTATTTTCAAGCAGAGGCTGGATGGACATTTGACAGGGGTGCTTTGACTGTGATTATTATTATTATTAACTTTATTTGTACCCTGCTACCATCTCCCCAAGGGACTTGGTGCGGCTTACATGAGGCCGAGCCCAAACACAACAACAAAAGCAATAAAACATCAATACAAGCAATTAAAAAACATAGACAATAAAATACATAACATTATCAAAAAAAGCAACACATAATTAAAACAGTGGGAAGGCCCAATGTAGAGTTAAAATTGGAAATAATGCTGGGTCATAAACGAAAGGTGATACTAGTGTTTGTGGAGGGCATACAAGCAGGCTCAGGGAAATGTCAAGTGCTTTGGAGGACAAAGTGCTATGGGATTCATTGTTCTGGGAAGGCACACTGGAACAGCCACGTCTTCAAGGTCCTCCTGAAGACTGCTAGGGTTGGGGCCTGTCTGATGTCTTTAGGGAGTGAGTTCCAGAGTCGAGGGGCCACCACCGAAAAGGCCCTCTCCCTCGTCCCCACCAAACGCGCCTGCGATGCTGGTGGAATCGAGAGCAGGGCCTCTCCGGAAGATCGAAGGGATCGTGTGGGTACGTATACAGAGATGCGATAACGTAGGTAGGCTGTGTGTTCCTGCAGAGTTGGACTGGATGGCCCTTGTGGTCTCTTCCAACTCTATGATCTAGAACAGAGGTCTTCAAACTTTTTAAACAGAAGGCCAGGTCACAGTCCCTCAAACTGTTGGAGGGCCGGATTGTAATTTGAAAAAAAAATGAGTGAATTCCACTGCACATATCTTATTTGTAGTGCAAAAAAACCCCACTTAAAACAATACAATAATGAAAATGAAGAACAATTTTAACAAATATAAGCTTATTAGTATTTCAATGGGAAGGGTGGACCAGCTTTTGGCTGATAAGATAGAATTATTGTTGTTGTTGTGTGGTTTCAAGTCGCTTCAGACTTAGGTTGACCCTGAGCGAGGGCCGGGTAAATGACCTTGGAGGGCAGTATCTGGCCTTAGTTTGAGGACCCCTCATCTAGAATCACATAGGCTGTGCTAGCTGCTTCATCACACTGCTGGCTCATGTTCAGCCTGTGATCTACTACAACTCCTAGATCTCTTTCATATTTACTGCTTTCAAGTCAGATGCCGCCCCTGTATCTGTGCACTTCATTTTTTTCTGCCTAAGTGTAATATCCTACATTTTACCTTGCTGAAATTCATTTTGTTAGTTTTGACCCAGCTCTCTAACCTGTTAAAAGTCATTTGGATTTTGATCCTGTTCTCTGGAGTATTTGCTCTACCTCCTAATTTGGTGTCATCTGCAAACTTGATAAGCATGCACCCTAAACCTTCATCTAAGTCAGTGGTTCTCAACCTGTAGGTTCCCAGATGTTTTGGCCTTCAAATCCCAGAAATCCTAACAAACTGGCTGGGATTTCTGGGAGTTGGAGACCAAAACACTTGGGGGCCCATAAGTTGAGTACCACTGATCTAAGTCATTATAAAGATGTTGAAGAGCACTGAGCCCAATAGTCAGTTCTTTCCAGGATGAAGTGGAACCATTTGTGAGCACCTTTTGGGTTCGGTTCCTTAACCAATTACAGATCCACCTAATAGTATTTATTTATTAGCAGTATTTGTATACCATCCATCTCAACCTCGAAGGGGACTCAGGGCAGTTCACAGTGTTGGCAACAATTCAATTCAATAACAGTCGCATTGCCTAGTCCACATTTGACTAGTTTGTTTGCAAGAAGGCAATGGGGGACTTTGTTGAAGGCCTTACTGAAATCAAGATGATGGGGACAATGGACACCTGATTTAATCTGATTCATAAATAGCAATAGTATGAACAGTGAGTTTGATTAATAAATAGCCTTAGTCTTAGTGTTAGAAGACTTTAGCCAAGAGAAACACACACAGAACAAAGAAAACATGCAACAAATGACAGCTGAAAGGAGAGAAGCAGAAAATAAACAGCCCACCACTTCCTTAGATATGCAGAAGAGGAATCAATTGAAGGTCTAGCCAAGGAACTCACACAGGTGGGCAAGACAATAAACCTCAAAAGCAAGTCTTAGATGTAGATAGTTCACACAAAATAGTGTTTGATGAACTGGACCAACAATGATGCCTCAAAGGAAGGACCAGATGGTACACTGATATATTGAATAATTGGAGATTTGCTTTCCTGTACTGTTTTGATAAGCATCTAATCAAAGGTACCATGGGAGGATGAAAGGAGAATGGAAAGGAAAGAGAGCATGGGAAAAAGGATGTTGGACATTCTATGAAGCCCTAATGGGCTGCATCTTGTGGTGGCACTTCCTTTTCATGCTGCCCACAGGTCTTTTTATTCTGCAAATTAAAATCTGTGTATTTCATCTCCTTGCCTTTTAACCTCATTTGGGAAATGGGCTTCGGAAATTTAAAAGGGGCATATGCTACATCCACAGCATTCCCTGCAGCTTGTACCTCTATCGAAAAAAGAGCTAAGATTAGCCTGGCATGACCTGTTTTTGAGAAACCCATATTGACTTGAGTGATAACAGCATTCTTTTCTAAGGCCCCTTCAACACAGTCCTTATATTCCGAGATGTGATCCCAGGTTATCTGATTTGAAATGAATTATAGCAGTCCACACTGATATCTGGGATAAGCAGATATTCTGGGATCAGATCCTGGGGCACAGGGACTGTGTGGAAAGGCCTTAAGTTATTAGAGACTGGGTTGTTGTAGTTTCGCCTGCATCTATGGCAAGCATCCTCAGAGGTATTGAGGTCTGTTGGAACTAGGAAAAAGTGTTTATATATCTGTGGAATGACCAGGGTGGGACAAAGAACGCTTGTCTGCTGGAGCTAGTTGTGAATGTTTTAACTGACCACAGCATATAATGGCCTGGCCGTGCCTGGAGCAAACTTTTGTTGAGAGGTGATTAGATGTCCTTGTTTGTTTCCTCTCTGTTGTTGTGCTGTTGTAATTTTTGAGTTTTTTAATACTGGTAGCCAGATTTTGTTCATTTTCATGGTTTCCTCCTTTCTGTTGAAATTGTCCACATGCTTGTGGATTTCAATGGCTTCTCTGTGTAGTCTGACATGGTGGTTGTGAGAGTGGTCCAGCATTTCTGTGTTCTCAAATAATATGCTGTGCCCAGGTTGGTTCATCAGGTGCTCTGCTATGGCTGACTTCTCTGGTTGAAGTAGTCTGCAGAGCCTTTCATGTTCCTTGATTCATGTTTGGGCAATGCTGCGTTTGGTGGTCCCTATGTAGACTTGTCCACAGCTGCATGGTATACGGTAGACTCCTGCAGAAGTGAGAGGATCCCTCTTGTCCTTTGCTGAACGTAGCATTTGTTGGATTTTCTTGGTGGTCTGTAGATAGTTTGTATGTTGTGTTTCCTCATCAGCTTCCCTATGTGGTCAGTGTTTCCCTTGATGTATGGCAAGAACACTCTTTTCCTCTGGCTGGATCTTCATCTTTACTCTCGTGGCTTGTTCTTGGTCTTGCAGCTCTTCTGATGTCTGAGGTGGAGTAGAGACTGCTTCTGTAATGATTTCCTCCAGAATTTTTCCTGGTGTTGGTGATTACATGGTAACTGAGTCCTCCTCCCCCCACCCCCTTCTTGAAGATAGGGACAGCATCCCATCCCCCCCCCCAAAGTCTTCTTATGGGACTTCTATTCTCCAAGATGATTGCCAGTGGTTCTGAAATGACTTCTGCTAGTCCAGGCATGGGCAAACTTCGGCCCTCCAGGTGTTTGGACTTCAACTCCCACAATTCTTAACAGCCTACCGGCTATTAGGAATTGTGGGAGCTGAAGTCCAAAACACCTGAAAGGCCGACGTTCTGCCCATGCAGTTCTGCCCATGCCTGTGCTAGTCCACTTGAATTCCTTTAGAGCTGAATGCCTTTGGAGTAGCCAGGCATTCCTGGACGACTTTTGAACCTCTTTTGGGATGCATTTCCCGGACTCCCCCTTTACCTCCTGCTCCCCACAGCTAGTCCTGGTTCAGAGCCCCTCGCTCCGCTCACCTTGGCAGAAACCCTCGGCCCGGCGCGGCTTCTCCTCAGGCGGAGGCGAGGAGGAGGGAGGCGGGGAGAGCGCGCCCCCTCCGGCCTTCCCAGCCTGGCGGCCTCGGCGTCCAACCGGCCTCCTTTCCCACAGGCGCGCCAGCCAGCCCACGACGCCTATCACCGCGAAGGCAGCCAGCAGCTCCCAGCTCGGCCAGCGGGCCCACGAGGAGGCGCCCCACACGAAGGCCCAGCGCTCCATCCTCTCGCCCTTCGCCTCACGCCACGCGCGAACGCGCAGCAAACCCAACGCCCTTTCGGGGGGGGGGGGCAGGACCAAACCCCTCCCGGCTTCCGTCCTTCGCGTCCTCCTCTCACTCCTCCCCCTCGCCTTGTCTCCAAGCCCCGCCCCTCCAACTCCAGGGCTGTCTAACGGCATGCCTGACGGAAATTTCCAAAAAGGGGCCCATGGTGCGCTTCGAGAGAAGGCGCCTCCCGTTCCGCCGGGCCTTTCTCTCGCCGCAGAAGGCCTTGGGGGACAATTCAGGTGCCCATTACCAGCGGCTGAGCCAATCCCTCCTTCGGAAGGCGTGAAACGGCAGCCTATCCCGCCGCCCGCCCCCTCCTTTGGGCTTTTCTGACAAGAAGCCTTGAAGCTCAGAGCCGAGCATTGACAGGAGCGCTGTCCAATCAGAGCCATCCACGTCAGCGTTTGTTGTGGTGTGAATTCCAGCCGTTTCCGACGTGCGGCGGCCCTGGCGTTGGCCTTGGTTCTTCGGGGCTGCTATTGCTCTGGTTTTCCTCGGAAGCTGAACGAGTGGGACTGTTGTCGAAAAACGCCCGGGAGGTAGCGACCCTACACTGGAAGCCATTCCTGATGGCACGGCTGGAGTCCAAATAGGGATAAAAACATCAAATCACCCAGGCGTCCCCTGGGTAACGTCCTTGCAGACGGCCAATTCTCTCACTCCAGAAGCGACTTGCTCCTGACACGACCAAAAAAAAATTGAAGCAGTCAAGAGATACAACGTATCCCCCCATTATGGCTCCTATTTCCTTGTAGCAGCCACATCCCCTGTCTGTCTCTCATTTCTTCCTTGGCACACGGACGTGGATCTGCCAGAAATCAATGAACCAACTCCATAACTTTCCACCTCTATGAAAGCAGCCATCCCCCCTCCTTTCCAACTCTTCACTGCTCCCCACTCTCATCATTAGATGTATAATATTTTATGTCTTTGTAAATTTGTACCCCGTCCTTCTCAACCCCAGAAGGGAGACTCAGGGCAGCTTACATTGGCAACAATTTGATGCCAACACACACAGTACATACACATTATATCACAACATTTCACATTAAATAAAAACCATTAAGTTAAAATCCATTTAAAAGCATAATTAGCAACCATGTAGCCAAGTCCAATCCAATTCAGTGTCCAAAGACTTTGTCAGTCTGTCCATTGTCAGTTCACTTAAACGTTGCAATCTATCAAGCCTGCTCCACAAATGCCTGGTCCCAGAACCATGATTTAAGCTTCTTCCTGAAGGATAGGAGGGATGGAGCTTACCTAATCTTGCTGGGGAGGGTGTTCCACAGGCAAGGGGCCACCACTGAGAAGGTCCTGTCTCTTGTCTCCACCAAACACGTTTGCAAAGAAGGCGGAACCGAGAGCAGGGCTTCCTCGGACGATCTTAAAGTCCAAGGCATGACGCAGAGGGAGAAAGATTTTTATTTGAACAAATCTTTCTGAAGGCAAACCAGAGGGACTCCAATTTGACCCTTTCAGTCCCCCAGGGTTGGAACATCATCATCATCATCGTCGTCGTCGTCCTCCTAGCTTGGGGTACCCGGCAGAGCCTGGGTTATTTGAAAAGGCATTGTTTGTTTTGGGGTATTAGGTAATATCATTTAGTTAATTAGTAACACTATTTCATAGAAAAAAAGCCCATCTGATTTCATTGTTTATGAATGCTCCCATTAGAAAATACATAACGATATGGATCAACTACAATTCCCAGAATCATGGGTCAATCCTCCCCAAACCAGGCCTGTATGCACAGCTGGCCATGTCAGGTCTGTGTGCCAAGTGTGGTCCAAATCCATCATTGGCTGGGTTCAGTGCTCTTGGGATGCAGGTGAACTACCACTCCCAAAATCAAGGTCAATTCCCACAAACCCCTACAGTATGTACAACTCCCATATTCCAAGGGCAATCACCCCCAAAGCCCACCTGCATTCACAGTTGGGCATGCTGGATCTGTGTCCGAAGTTTGGTCCAGATCTGTTACTGATGGGGTTCTGGATGCAGGGTGCAGGGTAACCTATAACTTCCACGTGGGTAGGTCATTCTTTCCCCAACCCCTCCAGTATGTTCTGTTGGTCATCAGGGTTCTGTGTCCCACGTGTGTTCCAGATCCACCATTGGGGGATTCAGGGTGAACTACAACTCTCACGTGGGTGGGTTAGTCAACCACCAAACTCTTACAGTATATTATGCTGGTCATGGCGATTTTGTGTGCCAGGTTTGGTCCAGATCCGTCACTGGTGGGGTTCAGAGTGCTCTGGGTGCAGGGTGAACTACAGCTCCCACACGGGTGGGTCAGTTCCCCAAACCCCTCCAGTATGTTCTGTTGGTCACCAGGGTTCTGTGCATAATTTTTGTTTCTGCTCCATCATTGGTGGGGTTCAGAGATCACTGGGTGCAGGATTAACTACTACTCCCATGAGGGTGGGTCAGTTCCCCCCTCCCCAATATCTCCAGTATGTTCTGTTGTTCACCAGGGTTCTGTGTCCCAAGTGTGATCCATATCCACCACTGGTGGGTTTTGGAATGCTCTGGGTACAGGGTGAACCACAACTTCAACGCAGGTGGGCCAGTTCCCTAAACCCATCCGGTATGTTCTATTGGTCATGGGGGTTTTGTGTCCCAAGTTTGGTCCAGGTCCGTCATTCGTGGGGGTCACAGCGGCCTCTGGAAGTGAAAGAAGGTACTGCAAGTCGCATCATCCATGGCAAGTCCAGATCCATCATTGGTTGGCTTCACAGTGCTCTCTGAATGTAAGTGGGAACTGACCTCCTATAAATCAAGGTCAGTTCCCCTCAAACCTGGTCATGGGGGTTCTATGTGCCATTGTCGGTGGGGGTCACAATGCCGTGTCTTGATGCAGGATGGACTACAACTTCCAGCCTGCTGAGTCAGTCCACCAAACCTCTGTTCAGTTGCTGACTAATTCCTCTGTTTGCTGTCTGCCATAGCAAATAGTAGGCAAGGGTTAAACAAGAGGCAGTGGACGGAGTCATGCAAATTCCACATCAATGGAGAGAGAAAGGATTTCTGGGATGTGGCACTCACTGTAACCTGCAATGTACATTGAAGGGAGGGCCCACTGGTGTCTCATGAATGGTGGAAGTTATAACTCTCTGTGGAAACTGGAGTCTGTGTAAGTGGACACCTCCGCCACATACACATTTTTCACTTTTAGATAGATAGAACAAGACAGATTGAAGATTTATTTATATCGCGCTTTATCTCCCCAAAGGGGACTCAAAGTGTCTTGACATAAAAGCACAGTTAAACTCCATTAAAACAGTTATTATTATTTATTATTATTAACTTTTTTTATCCCCAATCATAAATTTATCTTTGTTGCTACTTCATAGCTATAATTTTGCTACTGTTATTATTATTATTATTATTATTATTATTATTATCTTTATTTGTACCCCGCTAGCATCTCCCGAAGGACTCGATGCGGCTTACAAAGGCCAAGGCCTCAAAACACAACATAAGAATACAAAACCTAAAGCAAATTAAAAACAATTAAAGCACTATTAAACAACAAGCAATAAACAATACACCAAGACACAATAAAACTGGGCCGGGCCACAGTAATGGGTACAGAATTAAAAGTGCTGATGTGACAGGTGGTATATAAGGATTATAGGGTAAGTGCAGTGTGCAGTGTGCGGCAATCTTAATTCTAATGAAGTGCTTCTGGGACTTGGTATTGGAGATTTCCTATTCTGGAAAGGCACATCAGAACAGCCAGGTTTTCAAGTTCTTTCTAAAGACTGCCAATGTAGGGGCCTGTCTAAGATCTTTGGGGAGGGTGTTCCAGAGTCGGGGGGCCACCACAGAAAAGGCCCTGTCTCGTGTCCCCACCAAATGCGCTTGCAACGCAGGCGGGATCACGAGCAGGGCCTCTCCAGATGAACGAAGTGAACGCGTGGGTTCATAAACGGAGATGCGGTCACGCAGGTAGGATGGTCCCAAACCGTTCAGGGCTTTGTAGGTAAGCACCTGCACCTTAAATTGGGCTCGGAAAATAAACGGCAGCCAGTGGAGCTCCTTGAACAGAAGGGTTGACCTCTCTCTGTAAGGAGCACCAGTTAACATCCTGGCTGCTGCCTGTTGGACCAGTTGAAATTTCTGAGCCGTTTTCAAGGGCAGCCCCATGTAGAGCGCATTACAGTAGTCCAATCTAGAGGTGACCAAGGCATGGACCACCCCGGCCAGATCAGCCCTCGCGAGGTACGGTCGCAGTTGGCGCAGGAGTCTCAATTGTGCGAAAGCCCTCCCGGACACTGCCGACGCTTGAGCCTCAAGCATAAGCGATGAATCCAAGAGGACTCCCAAACTGCGGACCTGTGGCTTCAGGGGGAGTGTAACCCCGTCCAGCACAGGTTGCCACCTTATACCCCGGTCAGGTTTACGATCGACTAGGAGGACCTCTGTCTTGTCGGGATTGATCTTCAGCTTGTTCCTCCTCATCCAGATAGACACAGCGGCCAGGCACTTCCAGGACCCGGGAGGCCTCCTTGGAATTGGGTGGAAATGAGTAATAGAGTTGTGTGTCATCTGCATAGAGGTGGCACCTAACTCCAAAACTCCGGATGATCTCTCCCAGCGGTTTCATGTAGATGTTAAAGAGCATGAGAGACAAAATAGAGCCTTGCGGGACCCCACAGGTCAAAGGCCAGGGGTCCGAGCAGGCGTCTCCCAGCTTCACCATCTGGGATCGACCCTCCAGGAAGGATCGGAGCCACGACAAAACCGTGCCCCCAAGACCCATCCCAGAGAGTCGCCAGAAGGATACCATGATCGATGGTATCGAAAGCCGCTGAGATGTCCAAGAGAACCAACAAGGTCACACTCCCCCTGTCCAGCTCTCTACGGAGGTCATCCACCAAGGCGACCAAGGCTGTCTCGGTACCGTGACCAGGCCTGAAACCAGACTGTGACTGATCTAGGTAGTTGATGTCATCAAGAAAGCCCTGGAGCTGGGAGGCAACCACCTGCTCCAGCACCTTACCCAAAAAAGGGAGGTTGGAGATTGGTCTGAAATTGTTCAGCTCCGTGGAGTCAAGGGAAGCCTTTTTAAGGAGTGGATGCACCACCGCTTGTTTCAAATGAGATGGAAAAACCCTTTGCTCCAACGATGCATTCATGATCACCACAAACCAATCAACCAACCCCTCCCTGGCCGATTTAATTAGCCAAGACGGGCAAGGATCTAGGGCTGATGTGGTTGCCCTCACAGCCCCAAGGACCTCTTCCACGGTCTCAGGAAGAACAACCCTGAAAGAATCCCACAAAATCGGACAAGCAGATGCCTCAATCACCTCCCCTGGCACTGTGATGAAATTGGAGTCGAGTTCAAGGCGTATCTGAGTGACTTTGCCTGCAAAATGATGTGCGAACTCGCAACACCGAGTTGCTGGGTCGTCGAAGGTCTCCTCCACCACAGGTGGCTGAAGGAGTTCCCCGACGACCCGAAACAACTCCGATGAGCTATTTGCTGCAGACGCTATACGGGTAGTCGTGAAAGACTCCTTGGCTACCTGTATAGCCACGGTATATGCCCTAAGAGAGGCTGTAGCCCGTGCTCGGTCAGACACGTCCCGAGAATGCGCTCTAGCCCCCTTCTCGTGTGCTTCATCACAGCCAGCTCCTCGGTGAACCAGGGAGACGGCATGTCATGACGCAACGTGATGGGGCGTTCGGGAGCGATCGTATCTATCGCCCTGGTCATTTCCCTGTTATAGAGATCGACCAAGACGTCGACAGAATCGCCAGGCTCCATGGCAGGAAGAACCCCAAGATTCCTCAGGAATCCCTCCGGATCCATCAGTCTCCTGGGGCGGACCATCTTAATTTGTCCTCCACCCCTGCGGAGGTTAAGGGTCGCAGATAGTCTAAAACTGACCAGATAGTGATCAGACCATGACACAGGATGTTTTGTTCTTCCACTCTGATCATCCCACTGTCCGCCACAAAAACTAGGTCGAGTGTGTGTCCAGCCTGATGGGTAGGGCCAGATATAATTTGTGATAGCCCCATGGTCGTCATGGCGGCCATGAAATCCTGAGCTGCACAAGAAAACCGACATCTCTGGAAAGGAATAGGATAGAGAGAGGGAAATTGTGCCACAAAATAGGCCAAGAGGCTGTTGAGGTTTGGGCTGAGGGAAGGAAGAAAGAGAAGACCTTGCTTCCTGTGAAAACGTGCTTATTTGGAAAATGGCACAGAATTTCCCTTTTATCACTTGGATACACCACATGGCTTGCAGTCATCTACAAGCACATCTATGGGTGCATCTAGACCAGTATTTGGGCCTACAACTCCCAGAAATCCCAGCCAGTTTATCACCTGTTAGGATTTCTGAGAGGTGAAGGCCAAAACAACTGGGGACCCACAGGTTGAGAACCACTGATCTAAACTGGGAAACTGATGTAGTTTGACCGCACTTGAACTTTTCTGGCTCAATGCTATGGAATCCTGGGAGGCGTAGTTTGGCGAGGCACCAGCCCCCTTTGGCCGAGAAGGCCAAAGACCACATCAAACCAAGCTCCAGTGATTCATTAACACTGAGCCATGGCAAGTGGTGCCAAACTGTATTCATTCTACAGTGTAGATACACCCGAAGTGACACTGGAAATGAATTGCAGTTTTTCAATCTAAATGAAATAATAACACTGTTGATGACCCCATGGCCTTGGAAATGTGCTTGCATCTAAGACCAAGGATTGTAGGTTCCCTTCAGTTATCAGGTAGAACAGCAACAATAAAAATGAATTAAAATTGCCCCAGGTAATAAATACTTTTGCTACCTTTTGACCAAATCCAAATCTAAAATTCTCCACCTGAGTGGGTGAGAGAGTGACAGCTTTGCTTTCTGATGGTCTAATGGACAATAACTTTGTTTCATGCACACACAAAATGGAAACACTTCTATGAAAAATAGTTTATTGCACAAAACCTTTCAAGAATTTTTATGCACAAGCTTAATTCTTTTTTAATTGAACATGCTTTTTTAAAAGGTCACAATCATTAAATCCTTAGTCACGCACAACATAACTCACTCGTCTTTTGTTTGAAACTCACAATCCAAAACTGTTACGGAGGTGATGTTCTTCCTTGTTAATAGAATCTAATGGCAGTTGGTTGGAAAAGCAAATGTGCAAAAGATTGCATAAGAACATTTAGAAGCTATTTATTTTAATAAAAAAAACCTCTGTACAGATCAACTCAAACATTTCATGGTAAAGAGGTAACCACAGTTAATTCAACACAAGAGTTAAATTTTCCAATTCCAGCAAATTTTATGTTAATATTAACTCTGATTTTCAACAGGGGGAAATGCAATCATAAAAATGGATTTTAATTACAAATAGAATGGCATGGCTGGTGCTTAACATCTAAATTAAGGCGATTATTTTGTTTTCATTGTGCATTTGTCACACTGACACATTTTGGTTTATAATCATTAGAATGTATCTATTGTGAACACTCCATTGTTGATTAACAGAGCTACTTAGGAAAACTTTCCATGATATTTTGTTTTATACATGGAAAGAGCAGCAGCATACAATGCTTCCAAACAAGTATGTTTCCTTCCAGAAATCTTTCGAATGTTCTGAAAACACAAGATGCTTTCCTGACAGAAATAAAATTAACTTTGCAAGATGAAACTGCCTGTGCAGAAGCAAAAGGAAGAATGAAGATAATATAGTGAAGGCTCTCCAAATGATTTGATAAGACAGTGGAACTAACGCGCAATGTCCTGCAGACACTTAACTTGAGAAATGTGGGCTCTGTGATTTTTGATGATGTACTTAAAAAAAATAACACTGAAAGATTGGAAGAAAGCCTTCAAAAACCCTCTGCTAAACTTACAAATGAACATTGAAGTCTATTGTAGTACCGTATTCCATTGCATAATAGGCACCACCCTCATTTTTAGGGTGGCAAAATCAGTATTTTTGTGTTCCTTGCATAACAGTTGCAAAGCTATTTGGGGCTGATTCCAGCTTCCCTCCTTCCTCCAAGGCCTTAACACAGATATAAAAACCTGAAATGGAGGAGTCTGGAATTTGGATCTTCCCTCCTTCCTCTAAAGAACTCCATTTCAGATTTTGTAAGCTGCCTTGCCTTTTGTAAACTGCCTTGCCTTGGGGCAGGAAGGAAGGAAGGAAGGAAGGGAGGGAGGGAGGGAGGGAGAATCTTCCCTCCTCCTTCTGTCTTGGAAATAAGGCAGTTAATTTTTTTAAAAACAAAAACCAGAGACTCAAAGGCAGATTTTTCTTCATGGTGTAATAGTTGCACCTCCCCCTTTTTCAATTAAAAAAGGGACAAAAGTGTGACTATTATGCGATGAAATACAGTATGTCTTCTCAGTACAAAGACAGAAGTGTTGGGTTTCTCCCCCTCAGACCTTTTAGAACATAGCAAAACAGATATATTAGACCTCCAGGGATGAAGAAAGGGATATAGAAAGCACCTCTCAATTTCCAATTTCCTTGAAACAATTACAAAAAGCATGGCCATGTCAACATGGCACTCCTGTCCAAATTACTTAAATCTACTTGGCTTGATTGAGCTTGACAGAACTGTTCCCTGAAATACAAGACAGCACCTTTTAAAAAGAACGCCTCCCAGGGAGCAAGCTTTGGGATTCACTTTGCTGAGAAGTCCCACTTCTTTTCTGGTCAAAATGACAACTACCGATGGATATAAGAGTTTAAATGTCTCAGGAAGAGAAATGTCTTCCATTGGCTGATTAAAAGAAGAAACCCAATGTTCTTTAGATAATATGCACTTGACGCTCAATCACTCCAAGCCTTACATGGCTGTATGAATATACAACCTTTCATTTAAGCTGTGAATAATCTGCTTTTTTGACGCTTAACAGGACTGTGAATGGTACACAGAAGTTGTCATACTCAAAATTCACAAATCCTGGGTCTTTTCTCATAAATAATAGTGTTCTAAGTAGAATGGTAACATGAACATTCCATCTGTGCATATTTTGGACCTGAAGATATATATTAATTAATACACAACATTAACTTTGGTGTGTAAATACTACAGTATTTCTTCCAATTTTAAATTAGGAACTATAGAGGCTAGAATATAAACAGCAGCAAAAACCATTACTTCTTACAAATTAATCCATAAAACAGACATAGTAATAAAAGCCACCAGCATAGCTAGATTAGTCAATAAAGCTTTCAGTGTGTCATTTTGATAACAGTTGATCAGTCATATGAAATAAGCAATGTGATATTTGCTGACAGTCCTTCCCCTACAATGTTAAAACCCTTTACATTTTTTTAAAGTACCTTGCCTTCATATTATATGCAAAAATGAAATCATCTTGCCAGAGTTTCAAAACTAGAAGTATTAAAAACATGAAAAACTCACAGTGAAGAACAGAACAGCAAATCAAGCCTTCAGAAGAAGTCAGCATTTTGAAAGCAGCATGGGGAATACATTATGTAACATTGCCCCGGAGCAAAGGTGGTTTTGAATTCCACAGAGTACCACTTTGTCATGTTAACTGGGAGGAAAAAAACCTTCTGTACTAAAACACTCCTTACACACACAAAAGACAGCATCCTTTCTATGATAAGCTTACTCGTTAAAAAACCCCTAATATACAGATAGCATCATTCTCACAGGCTGGGATTCTCAACCCACTTTACAAGTTTTCTTATTTTCTATCGCTCAGTCCAACTACCAGGCCAGAACTGGACATTATGAAAGTAACAAATATGCATTTTCTCACTTTCTTCCCTCTCTATAAAGTCTAATGTTGTAGTCATCATCATCTTCGGACCTGGGTCCCATCTTCAACCCCAGATTGAAACATGGGACCCACATGCTACTATCCCTCTCTGTTACTCTCTCTTTTTTTAAGACAACCACCATTGTATGTAACTGGTGCACCAGTCTTCAGATTGGGCATTGAGCACCTTTGAGTTGGATACGAATAATCCACTGAATCAGGCTAGAAAAATATGCTGCATATTCTATCCTAAACATTACAGCAAAGGGGTAGGCAGGAAAATTGCACTGATGACTGACATTTTTTGTGGTAGTTAAATATATACCATAATATGATGTTGTAAAGAAGGGGAATAGACACAACCATCAGAAGAAGAAGGAGGAATAGACACAACCTTTGCACAACCAATCTGTGTGCCTCCTAACATCTAGCCCTAAGCTCTGAAATCACTTACATCTCAGACTTCCACAACTTCCATCCAAGATACATGGCATCCTACATACACATCCGCCCGCTCATTTTCCCCTAACACAGTGGTTCTCAACCTGTGGGTCCACAGATGTTTTGGCTGACAACTCCCAGAAACCCTAACAGCTAGTAAACTGGCTGAGATTTGTGGGAGTTGTAAGCCAAAACACCTGGGGACCCACAGGTTGAGAACCACTGCCCTAACGCATCCTAGATTGCACTCTGAAGCTGTGAAAATAAACAAAACCAACACCTGGAACCTATGGAAAAAAGGAGGATGGTTTGCACTGCCAACTAAGAGAGACAGATTTTTAAAAAGGAAAACCTAATAATAATAATAAGCTTTATTTATAGTCAGTCAGTCAGTCAGTCAGTCTGTCCCCTCTCCCTGAAAGGACTTGGGGTGGTTGTTGTTTCAGCCTGCTAACTGCAGAACAGCAGGGTGTATTTCTTAAAGAAGACTACATGAACACTGGGCAAGATGGGCATAACAGCAGGATTGGGGAACATGAAGTATTTCAGATACTGAGCTGCAACTCTCATCAGCCTTAGCTAGGGCTGATGGAAGATGTAGCCCAACATCTGAAGAGTCACACATTCCCCATCCCTGCATTAGAAGGGAAAATTTAAGGGGAATTAAAGCTAACAAATGGGGATTTATAGGCAGTATATAACATTCATTTGAGAGATAAAATAAGTAAATTACATTTCTTAAAAGCTCTGATTTTAGGGCTAGCTTTCCTAGACCCCATGTATATTATATATATATATATATATATACAGTATTTTTCAAACATCCAACATTAAAAACAAAACCTTTGTGTTTTGTGTTAAATAAGCCTCTTTAAAAAAATGTACACACACAAACAGGTACTTCAAGGCAGAACCAAGCCGGACTATTTAGACACAGCCTGTGCTCAAAATGTCCTCAAAGACGACATAACAACAACAACAGCAATGTGCAAAAGGCATCTTCCAAGGGAATCAAAGCTCTCTGCTGGCCTTTGGTTGGGTATCCTGAATCCATTTCCTCTGTTTCAAGGTTCAAGACCACTGAGAGGTTACTGGCTTGCACTGGTCATCTGCTCTGGTGTGTCTACAAACCAAAAAAATCCTGAGATGAAGCATTAGCCATTGCCAATCTAGTAGATGTGGAATTCTCTCATATACTCAGGCCTGAATCAGACCCCATTTTGCCAAATACATACGTAAAAAGCCAGAAACTATGTAATGAGGTCATGGTAGGCATGCAACTAAATTCTCTCTTTCTAGACGTCAGTGAATAGGGAAAAAGATTTTCTAATAAAAGGACATCCTGATGCACCAAATGTTGCATCTTTTTCCTGCTCCGCTCCCACATTCCCCTCAAGAAAGACTGATAAGAGTTAAAGAAATTTCAAATAAAGCATTACCTTCATATATTTTGCCTCTGATCATTGTGTGTTCTCAAAGTTAAAAATAGACAAGAGCTCTGAAAGGTTTTTAAATCCAATATATATATATAAATAAATACCATTGATATTGACCAGTTATGAAGAGAAGAAATGGAGACAGTGACATTACTGCCCCAACCCTTCTTTTTCGCCAGCACTTTGATTGCGTTCCTTTCGGTCTGCTGCAGGAAGAGTCTGGGGGTCCAAGGCAGTGGCAGGAAAGGTGGGAGAAAGGTCCACTAATTGCCCTTCTATCTGAGTCCAAGAAGACATTGATTCGTGGACTGTTATTGTGTGCTCTTCCATCTGACGCTGAAGGCTGTCCATCTCCTGCCTTTGGGAAACAAACAATAGGCTCATACTAAGGCCAGGCACCTATTTCCTATGGTAAAAAAATGTCCGGATGGTGTGACAGAAACAGCCCTCTCCAACTGCTTCTTTCAAATTGGAACATTGACCCTCTGTATCCATGGACTCTCTGCCCACAGATTCAACCATGGCTTGAAAATAACCAACTCCCATTTTCTGCAAGGGACAATGTTTTACTACTGGATATACTCAGGGTAGGTTATGAGGCCAAAATTATGGATTTTCAAATGACCTATGGATAAGTTGAGGGTCATTCTGCAGAAAGGAGAAAGTGTCACTACTTCCTAAGAGGCCATCGCCCCTGACTGCCACCATTTTCCTGCCCAAGATTTCAACGAGGCCAAAAGCAGTGCTTTGTCAGAGAAGGTAGAGGGGGGTGGCACTTGTTTTAGGCTATTCCAGGATGTATTAAGCTCTGACCTTTTGGCACTCAGAGGAGGATCATTATGGGTTAAGAGTTAAGGTAAGGTATTCACATGGACCCATAAATAAGATGAGGGACTGGTTTTTTGACTATATTTTCTAGATACTTATTAAAAGTAAAAATTGAGGTTTCCCCTGACATTAAGTCTAGTTGTGTCTGACTCTGGGGAGCAGTGCTCATCTCCATTTCTAAGCCAAGAGCTGGTGTTGTCCATAGACACCTCCAAGATCATGTGGCCAGCATAAATGCATGGAGCACCATTATACATGACTAAAACTCTAGACTTATACACGAGTGCAAATTTTCAACCTGTCTTGAGCAATATATTATTGTTGTTGTTTTTGCTGCTGTTGAACCTTATTGTATATAATGAGACTTGAGCATCCATGGATATTGGTAGCAAGAGGGGGTCCTGCAATCAATCTCCTATGGATACCAAAGGCCCACTGTATTCATGATACATCCCCTTTGAATGTGCAAATCCGTTTAGATGTCATCATTACCCAAATGCCAACAGCCAGAGCCTGGAAAGGTACTATATATCTACTACAAAGGAAGTGGGAAGTGAGGTCCCTTCGCCGCCCTCCATCTAAGTCCATGAAGACATGAATTCAAGGGATGTTTAGGCTGCTGAGGAGGCAGCTTTTAGCATGTGCTTTGAAAGTACATTATAATTATAGTATTGTTACCCTTTTATTGTGATTGATTAATACTAAAACATTGTCTTTTTAGCTGTACATGGTTACTCTAATCATTTGTGTCACCTCTAAACCTGGCACTGGAGAAAACATAGTGTATACATTGAATGTGTTGCTATTTCTATTCTGCTTTATCTCTCTTAAAGAGACCCAAAGTGGCTAACAGTAAAAGCAGTACAATCAATTCAATTGAGTAAGCTTGGGTTAGTTGTTGTTGCCTCAATGTAGCTCACATATTTGCAATGCAGATAAAATTAGAGGACAAGAAGGAATACATTTGTTACCTTGAGTTCTTTGTTGGAAAAAAATGGGACATAAATATTAAAAAATAAAACTGACACTCTTATGTCTGTTTTGGATTGATAACAACACACATTTTGGTACCTCAAATGTGAGCCATGTTTCTGGGTATATTTGACTGCCTTATTTGAAATACGGTGCTTGTTACCACCCATCAGCTCTAGTTTTTGAGATGCAGAACATATGCCATCTACCAGTTGCCACCTGCTTATTAATTTATCGTGTCAGAAGCAAATTGAGAATAAGTCGATTCTGGTGTGAGAGAATCAGCCGTCTACGAAGACATTGCTCAGGGGATGCCCAGATGTGTTACTATCCTGCTCACCCATAGAAAACCATGATAACCATATCTAAGAAATTAGAGCTGATGTGGTCTATTCAATGCAATTTTCCTAATCAGCGCTCCAAATAACCCCAGGAACAGGCCTAAAATCCAAGAAACTTTTTGTTGGGCTGTATAATCAGTGCCCTATTAGGACAATCATTCATTTTAGTATTCTGTATACAAAGGGAAGGGAACTTAAAGAAGTGCACAAGCTGACAATATTTTCTCATCCATATTGAACAATATTTTAGATAGCACAATGGACACCCATATGTTAGTACCACAGCTCGCAAACAAGTTAAGTAGCCAGAAAACGTAGTTTCAACAGAAAAGGGTTTTACTCACTTGAGTTGCTGGAGGCAGCTGTTGAGGTTCTTCAAAGGCTCTTTACTAACAGCGGAAGGTGGTTTCAACAGCTCTTCCAGCAAAGCTGCAGGGACTGGACAGTCAGGAATCTTCACTGGGGTTACGGGATTTGAATTTGTCTCTCCCTTCAGCTCTTTTTTCTTTTTAAACGAAAAAAAAATCCACAAATAATAAGCAACTTATGCTCATGATTGTACATTCCAGGGTGAAAGTCACTGTTCTTAAGTCCTGCTATCTGCTCAGCCATGACGGCTGGGTGTTGGTTTTTTAAAGGAAGACTTACATCTTGGGATGCTAACTGCTAACTTCATCATCTAATTTGTAAAGCGGTTCTCTGTTTATAATAACACAAACAGTCCTGATCTTATACCGCATGGTTTTCTCCCCTTCCACTCAAGTACCTTTTTCATCTTTCCGTGCTTCAAGTCCAACTTCAGCTGCTGGTTCTGCTGTAACAGGGTCTTCATACTGTTCTTCAGTTCAGTCACTTTTGCCTGAAGCATGAACTTATCTTTCTGAGTTAAGGACAAATTGTCCTGGGCTATCTCCAGCTCTGTCTTGATATTCTAGAAAGATGGAAAAAGCCAAAGCAGCTATTTCAGCATTGAACAGTCACAAAAAGGGGGCCCATTCTTTCGAGTGCAATCCTACACCAATTAATGGGGTTTACTCCCAGGTAAGCAGGCACAGGATTCCAACCAAAGTTTCACACCAATTGAATGCAGGAGTTTAAAATGACCCCCCCTCTCTCTTTCCCTAACAGATGAACTCTTCCAAGAAGTAAATGAAGTACCTGCAGAACTACTTGCACTCCCTCCAACTCTTTCTGGTTGCGCTGCTCAGTCAAGTCCAGCTGCTGCTTCAGGGCCTGGATCTCTCTCTCCTTCTGTTCTACTTCCCACTTGAGGTCTTCCACCTATATGCAGGGAGGATGATTATTTCAAAATCAGATCACACCAGGGAAACAAGTTCAATGTAGGTGTAGCCCAGTGGAGAATAGAAAGATAAGTTAGTAGAACAATTTTCTCAATATAACTCTCCATTAAAATCTCTCTAGATGATGATGATGATATTTATTTTATCCTGCCTTCTCCCACCCCCAGTTCGAGATTCATAGCAGGTTACAATCAATTAAAAATATGTCACTAAAAATCCACAAGCACAACAGATAAAACAAGACTACACCACCAAAACATTAAAACGAGATTAAAACCTTTATCATGAAACACACACACACACTGGCACAACACTTAGCAAGACCCAGCACATTATTTTGGTGGGGCAGGTGTTATAGAGTCCTGCATCAAACACCTGTCTAAACAGAAACATATTTACATGTCTGTGAAAAGAAAGTAGGGAGGGTGACAGTCTCGATCACACATGTCAAACTCAAGGCCCATGGGCTCCATGTTATTTTATGTGGCCCTCCAAGATACTGGACTACAACTCCTATACTCCTCACCATTAGACATCATCATGACTTGAACGGATGGGAGTTGGGATGCAGAAACACCTGAAGGGCTGCAGTTTGTCCTATTTAGTCAGAAGAGTGGGGCTGGGATTTAGAGACAAGGCTTGTTGATAGGATGTCTGGCTTTAAAAATGTCCTCTAACCTTTCCCCAATCTCAGAGCCACAAGGGCTGTTGGGTTGCAATTCCCATTATCCCCAATCCACATGGAGGATAAATGATGGGAGTTGTTGTTCGCTAATACCTGGGGACAGTGTCATCTACTCCAATTAGTAGCAACTCTCCAGGGAGACAAAAAGTCATGGCAATCTAATCCTTTTTTTTAATAAAATGGAGACAGAAGGAACTGAACATGGGTTTACTACTGTGGTCCTCAACTTGTGAGTCCCCAGAAGTTTTGGCCTTTAACTCCCAGAAATCCTAACAACTGGTAAACTGGCTGGGATTTCTGGGAACTGTAGGCCAAAATACCTGACCCACAGGTTGAGTACCACTGGTCTACTATATGCAAAAGGTACAATTAATTATTATGCGATTTCTGTATCTGGACTAAAAAAAAAGAAGAGAAGCATTCAAACTCATATTCAATAAGGCAACAGAGAATGAACAAAATGGCTTTATCACCTCTTGATTCTCTGCTGGTTGCTTGTTCAGTTGCTCATTCAACTGATGCTCCAGAAGCTGAAGCTGGGATCGGGCTTCTGCTAGTTCTTGCTGGAACTGGGACACTTCTTCCGAATGCTTCCCTTCTGTGACCCTAGACCAAAAAGAAAGGCTTAAACCACTTGGATAATAATTGCAGTTCTCCGAATGCTATATAGTTCTTTCTGAAGTGGCAGGCCCCAAAAGCACAAAGTGGAGAGAATGCACTTAGTCAATCCATCACGCTGTCAACCAAGAATTATGCTAGAAGGTTTTAATAGTGTGCTGTTCCAGTGATTTTGCCTTTTGAAAACTGTATTTCTTTAATGAACCTCTGAGTCCCAGTTCTGAGGGGAAAAATCAGGCTATGAGTGAATAAAATGCTAATACGATGATGATGATGATGTTTATTTATACCCTGCTTTTTCTCTCCACAAAGGAGACTCAAAGTGGCTTACACTAAAAACATTTCAATACAATTTAATGCTGCAAGTTGCCAAAATACCTGGGAGTTACTCTGGACCATGCTCTGACTCATAAGAAGCACTGTTAGAATATCAAGCAAAACGTGGGTGCTAGAAATAATACCATACGAAAGCTGACTGGCACAACCTGGGGATCACAACCAGATACAGTGAAGACATCTGCTCTTGCGCTTTGTTACTCTGCTGCTGAATACGCATGCCCCGTGTGGAATACATCTTGCCACATTAGAACAGTGGATGCGGCTCTTAATGAGACATGCCACATCATCACAGATGTCTACACTCTACACCGCTGGAGAAATTATACTGTTTAGTTGGTATTGTACCACCTGACATCCTTCGGGAAGTAGAAGCCTGTAACAAAAGGACCAAGGCATTGACATCGCTGGCCTATCCTCTGTTCAGAAATCACCCAATGACTTAAATCAAGAAACAGTTTCCTAAGATCTACAGAGATACTCACAGGAACACATCAGCAAGCGAGAGTCCAAAAGTGGCAGGCTAAAATCCAGAACCTCAATCAGTGGCTGATATCTCACTCTATGAGCTTACAAGAGCTTTAAGATCGGCTGGGGAGGCCCTGCTCTCTGTCCCAACCCCTTCGCAAACGCGATTGGTTGGGACAAGAAACAGGACCTTCTCAGTGGTGGCACCTCGGCTGTGGAACTCCCTCCCCAGTGACATCAGGCACGCCCTGTCTCTCCTGGTTTTTTAGAAAGAAACTTAAGACCTGGCATTTTATGCAGGCGTTTGGTGAATAGGAAACTAAGGAATGAGACTTTAACAGCTTGAATAATGGACTCTGGATTTTGGAAAACCATTTGGATATGAGACCATGACTCGGCTTTTTACATGTGGTTTTTAATCTGTTCGATAGATTGGTATGAGTTTTAATTGTTTATATACTTAGACTGTTTATAGCTTTATGAGATGTGTTTTATTGTTACCTGTGCGGCATTGAATTTTAGACGGATGTGTAAGCTTTGAGTCCCCTCTCGGTTCAAGAAAGGCTAGGTAGAAATGAAGTAAACAAATAAATAATAAACTCCCTCCTGAGAACACAGAAGACCGGACGACCTGGAAAGGCATTGAACAGGCTGTGCTCTGGCACCGTGAGATGCAGAGCTAACCTTAAGAAACAGGGCTACAAAGTGGAGTCCACGACATGCAAATGTAGAGAAGAGCAAATAACACTACAATGCTACCTGAGCCCTGCCACATGCACAATGAAGGACCTTCTTACAGCGATACTAGGGGCACTCCAGGTGGTCAGCTTCTGATTAAAGGACATTTAGTAGAAGACCAAGTTTTTAACCTTGTTTGTGTTTTTAAATACATTATAACTGTATGCTCAATTTGCTTCTGACACAATTAAAAAAACCCAATTTAAAATCCCAAAATATACCAACATTAAACTAGAATTAAACATCAAAGATATTAATTAAAAAATAACAGTCAAAATCCTTAAAACTGATTAAAATGTATTTAAAGCTAATAATAATAATAATAATAATAGTAATTTATAAAAAATAATATAATTTCTATGAAATAATTTATAAATAATTTATGAATAATAATAATAATAACAACACTAGATCATATCCTCAGCTGCTGCAAGAAGATCGCACAGACAGACTACAAGCAGGAGCATAACACTGTTGCTCAGATGATTAATTGGAACTTGTGCCACAAATACCATCTGCCTGTGACAAAGAACTGGTGGGATCACAAGCCTGAAAAAAGTTGCAGAAGGCCACCTTACAGGGATCTGAACGCATCATTCGAATGAAGTATGGATCGTTGATGTTGCAATCTCAGGCGACAGCAGGATTGAAGAGAAACAACTAGAAAAGCTGGCACAATACGAGGATTTAAAGATCAAATTGCAACATCAACGATCCATAGTTCATTTTTAACACTGTGTCTGTGCGATCTTCTTGCAGCAGCTGAGGATATGATCTAGTGTTGTTATTATTATTATTATTCATAAATTATTTATAAATTATTTCATAGAAATTATATAATTATTTATAAATTACTATTATTATTATTATTATTATTAGCTTTAAATACATTTTAATCAGTTTTAAGGATTTTGACTGTTATCACCACTGGGATCACCTTGACTGGCTTGTGGTGATCGGCACACTGGGTGCAGTGCCTAAAGACCTTGACCTGCACTTAAACACAATCGGCGCTGACAAAATGACCATCTGCCAGCTGCAGAAGGCCACCTTACTGGGATCTGAACGCATCATTCGACAATACATCACAACAGCCAGCAGAGTTATCTTGTTTGCTGTGGACTCATCCTGTTGTGTTTCAAATAATTATAATTTTATTCACTCATAGCCATATTATTGTTATCGTATTATTACTATATTATTATTGTTTAGTTACCCATGTGGGGCAGGAACAGAACCATGCATCTTCACGTTGCCCTCAGTGTTGCATGCCTGCTCAACTTTATCCTGCCCCCAACCTCCACACATAAGACAAGGTTCTGGAAACGGAGCCATGTATATTTATGGAGACTCTGATCACAGAAAGCCTCTAAACTGCAGCTGAGACAATTGGTCAGCTTGTGGTCTTGGGGTGGAATCAGGTAAGAAACCACGATCAGGACGGAAGCCAGACTGTGACTTTGTTCTAGAATACTCACATGGCTATGGCTTGAATTAGGATTGTGTTTCATGTGACAACTAAAAATTGGTACTTCTTCCTAAGAAATATTGCATTTTGGCATTATTGTCGTACTTACTGCAGTTTGTTGACTTCAGCCTGGAGAGCTTGGATGAGCGCATCTTTGGCCTGGAGTTCTCGCTTCACCTCACTGAGTTCAAGCGCAGCAGCTTTGTAGTGGCGCCGATTATGTGCTGCTTCAGCTTTGGCTGTCACAATCTGCAACAGCACTTCCATCGTTATTGCAATAATCTCGTATACCCCTCTCTCTATTCCTTGACCCTTTCTATCCTGCATCATGTGTGCCACCTCTCTTTGTATTTATTATATTTTAAATAATTAACTTTAAATTCCACACACTATTCATTTTTTTTAAAAAAATGAAGTTGCTTTGATTTAAATTGTCAATAGATTATGTGGTTGTTACTGCCTTGAGTCCCCATGGAGGGAAAGGCGGGGTATTAAATCAATCCAATACCTTATTTCTTCAATTGTAAGATGTCATCGAATGTAAGACACATCTTATTTCAGTACCACCAACAAAAACATATATCTAGACGCACCTCATTTTTTGGGATTTTTACAAAGGGAAAAATGCATCTTAGAATTGGAAGAAATAATAATAATAATAATAATAATAATAATAATAATAATAATAATCAGGAGAGGCACTACATACATATAAGGAAAATATACTGCATGTGGCACAAATGTACATTTGCATCAGATTGTTCCTAATTGCTGCCATGTTATTATCTGTATTGTCTTGATTATTTCAGCTTATAGCACTACATCTGTTGAACACCACATATTTATAGCGTGTGCAAGGGTAGACAACTAAGGGTGCAGCTACATTTTGACACCACTTTAACTGCCACAGCTCAATGTTATGGAATCCTGGGAGTTGTAGTTTGGCGAGGTACTAGCCTCCTTTGGAAGAGAAGGCTAAAGACATTGTCAATTTTAGAACTTTCATCATTCCATTGCACTGATCCATGGCAGTTAAAATGGTGTCAAAATGCTTTGATACTACAATTTATCGCAGATGTATCCTAGGTGTCTTCCACATTTGTGAGCTATGACTCTAATCAGTATATTACTGATTATCCAAGGTGGGAGTGATGGAAGCCGCAGGCCCTAACATCTTGCACACCAACTAGGGATGGAGCTAGCAGCAGAAATAGAGCAGAAGGGTATCTACTGAGATTGCAGCAGTGGACTCAGCAGAGATCTCACTCCCTGTCATACATTAGCCTTTCACAGGGCCAGCTTGTTCCATATATACTGCATACACAATTTTTTTTTAAAAAATCCAGCAATGGGAGCATGTGTGGAAAACTCCACCACAACAAAACACCACAACTAGGTTTGTACCTGTTCTTTGAGGTCTTTGACTTTTGTCTTCTCTCTTTCCAAGGCTGTCTGCAAGGCCTGAATGAGCTGCCTCATCTGCTGATCTTCCTCTTCTTTACGCTTCAGAACAGCCTGGACCTGGAGCATCACACAACCCAAAGCGTGAACATCAGAGATTTGTTTTGGGATGAACTTTTGGAGATTATCATTTATTTTATCAGACACACCATCGAGTACATTTGGGCTTCTGTAGGCACATATACAGATATATAGTTGTCTGGATACAAGTGTGCATGGGAGATATTTAGGCATGGCATTGTGATCAGAAAAAGGAGGACGTTTACGAACAAAGAAAACTCTTTAGCAAGGTGATGGAGCAACAGCACCCCCCTGTGGCCGGAACCAAGTATAGCCTCCAAAGATGCCAAAAGATGGAAAGAGATTATATATACCTCTATCTGTTGTCTATCTTGTCATTGTACAATCAGCATTGAATTTTTGCTGTATATGCATTCTGTCATCTGCCCTGAGTCCCCTTTGGGGTGAGAAGGGTGAAATATAAATACTGTAAATAAATAAATTCTATATACAGGGTTAGTCAAAATGAATAGGCCAATAAGAAAATTAATTTTAGACGAATGTATGTTTATTGTAACCAAACTACAGCTACGTAGCGACAGATAAACTATCAAAGTTTTGTCTCACCTTCAGAGATGTTCGATATGGGCGCCCCGTGTGACACGGCAGATGTCCAAGCGATAGTCCAGTTCATTCCACATCCGTTGCAGCACATCCGACGTAATGGCATCGAATGCAGCAACGTCTGGGAAGGTGTTCGTTGAGGTCCTAACCCTAACCCTAACCCTAACCCTAACCCTAACCCTAACCCTTGAAATTCTCGCTGGACCGTAATTACTGACATTGTTTTAGCAAATGTCATCACACAAAACGCCTTCTCTTTGCTTGATTCCGCCATTTTGAAAACAGCAACCCCTAGCGACGCCTAGCGGCATTAACGTACATGTGTGTTGCTCAAAAAAAACTTTGATAGTTTATCTGTCGCTACGTAGCTGTGGTTTGGTTACAGTAAACATACATTCGTCTAAAATTAATTTTCTTATTGGCCTATTCATTTTGACTAACCCTGTATATCTGGAGAAATGGCTAAGAACAATAAAAAAATTACGGGGAAGTCTCGGGCTTCAAAATTAATATAGACAAAACAAAAGCAATTACAAAAAACATAACAAAAAAAACAAGACAATTTAAGAGACAGGTGGAATATACAAATAGTATCCAAAATAAAGTACTTGGGGATCGTACTTACGGCAAAAAACCTACAAATACTACAAAACAATTACATTGAAAAATGGAAAAAAATAAAAAGGGATTTAGAGAATTGGAAAAATTTGAAATTATCTTTATTAGGGAGAATAGTTAGTGTAAAGATTACCATCCTACCAAAGATGATCTTTTTATTCCAAAATATCCCAATAATTAGAAATCAAAAAATGCTAAATGATTGGAATAGAGATATAATGAAATTTATCTGGCAGAAAAAGAAACCAAGAATGAGCCATGAAAACATGACAAAGGTGAAAAAAGATGAGGGCTTGCAACACCAGATCTCAAAATATACTTCGAATCCTTTGCATTAGTCTAGGTGAAAGAATGGGCAAAATTAGAGAAGGAAAAAATATTAAATTTAGAAGGGGTAGAATTAAGAAATGGGTGGCACTTGTATCTATGGTACGGGAAGGCCAAAAGGGAAAAAAAATCGGTAACCATTTAATATGATTGTCTCTTCTGAAAGTGTGGGGAAAATATAAGAAAAACCTCTATGAAAAAACACCTACGTGGATATCCCCACTTGAGGCCTCTCAAAGGAGGATTCTAGGCTGGAACAAATGGCCAAATTATAAAGACATATTGAAAATAGAGGAATGAGAAATTAAGATGAAAACACAGCAAGAATCAAACAAAATTAACAAAATGATATCATGGCAGACAAAAGAGCATTTCAAGAAAGACAAAAAAAATAGGATTCGAGGAATAGGAAAACTTTTGGGATAAAATAGTGCAAACGGAGAAAAAAATTGACATCTAAAATTTATAAAAAAACTTCAAGAATGGGCAAATGGAAAGAGGACAATAAAGGATACATGAAAAAATGGAAAGAAAACATAGGGAGAACTATAAAAAAAGAATGGGAGGAGGTATGGAATAAGAAACTAAAATACACCTGTGCAATGGGACTAAAAGAAAATTGGTTTAAGACGGCCCATAGATGGTACATGACCCCACACAAATTAAGTAAATACTTCAAAAACGTCAACTCAAAATGATGGAAGTGTGGAGAGATTGAAAGAACATATTACCATCTATGGTGGACATGTAAAAAAGCAACAAATTATTGGAAGATGATTCAAAAAATCTACAAAAGATACTTGAAACTGACATCTCTAGGACACCGGAAACCTTCCTCCTTGGAAGGTCATGCCAAGAGAAGAGACAGATTGGAAACAAGTGACAACATATTTGGTAAAAGAAAAAAATGAAAATATTTATTTAAAGAAAAGATAGTGACGGATAACACGAAGAGAGGGAGAAGAAGAAAAAGAAAGAAATACAAGGGTAAAAAAAGGAAAAGGAAAGAACCTCATAGAAGATACTGGGAAGTCAAGAACTCTACACTCTTCCCCCCCCCCCCCCCTTGTTTTATTCATATTTTAACTCTATCCTACTTATATATCTTTTTACTCACTATCTTCTAAACTACAGGCTATCTCTCACAGTCATCCCGTCCCCCCATCAATTGCCTATCCCTATCACAACCCCTATTTCTGTCACATTCCTCTACTTTACATCTCTATCTACATCTCTATCTTTATCTATTTATCTGTCTATTGATCCATACTCTATCTGACATCTTACCAAAATCATTTACTCTCCGTCTGTTTTAAAACTAAATAAAGATTTTATTAAAAATAAATTCTATATAATAAAAGAGAAAATATGTTGATATGTTTCTCATCTATCTATCTCTTTGTCTGTCTATCTATCTATCAATGTTTGTATGTATTTTCCAAGATGGCTCCCACATCCAGAAAGCCCTGCGACGGATGGATCTTGATCAAACTTTGCACACAGACGTAACATGACCAACTTTAAGTACTGTAGAGGTTTGTGGGAAATGACCCACAATGTTGGGAGCTGTAGTTCCACTCACATTCAGAGTGCACTGTAAACCCCACTGATGATGAATTTGGAGCAAACTTGGCACACAGACCCATCATGACCAACTCCAAATACTGATGGGGTTTGGGGGCAATGACAGAGAATGATGGGAAATGTAGTTTACCCACATCCTTATGCATTTTCTAATAGGAGCATTTATAAAATCCAAAACCAAACAATGACTTTTACTAATAAAACATTAGAAATTACCTTACTTAGGCATTGCAGGGTACCTATGCTAGTAAATAAAGGTTGCTTACCTGTAACCGTATTTCTTCGAGTGTCTATCCGTGAAATTCACACCTATGGGTTCTCCTGTGCGCACGCGCAGCAATCCGGAACTTCTAGAATTTTTAATGAATTTTTAAATGATTATTTAAAGAATAAACATAAGCCCCGCCCACTCTCCGCCCCCCCGGTATATCAGCCCCCGCGGGCGTCTGAGAGGTAGTTCCCCCAGCGCCAAATAGAAGCTTAATGGAGGCATGACAGAGGGGAGGATGGGCGGGTTGTGTGAATTTCACGGATAGACACTCGAAGAAATACGGTTACAGGTAAGCAACCTTTATTTTTTCTTCGTGTCTTCCGTGAAATGCACACCTATGGGTGAATAGCAAGCTACTGACCTGGAGGTGGGTCATGCCACACAGGAAAACAGTACAGCTCTGCCGAGGCTGCATCCTTCTTGGCCAACACATCTAGTTTGTAGTGTGATGCAAACGTGGACGGTGTGGACCACGTTGCTGCTCTACAGATCTGGTCAAGTGGAACTCCACGCAAAAAAGCTTGAGAGGTGGAGAGTGATCTGGTTGAGTGGGCCACCATGCGAGCTGGTGGTTGCTTTCCTGCCAATTGGTAGGCTAGTCGGATCGTAGAAACGATCCAAGAGGCTATGCCCTGGGAAGAGACAGGGTGCCCCATCATGTCTTTCCTGTATTTTAAAAAGAGCCTTGGGGATTTCCTATGAGGGGATGTCCTATGTAAATAGAATGAAATGGCCCTCTTAACATCCAATGAATGGAGGGCCACCTCAAGTGGAGACGATGGATTCGGGAAGAACGCTGGTAGTATGATGTCTTGAGACATGTGGAAGTGAGAGACTACTTTAGTCAAAAAAGTGACATCAGTACGAAGGACAACCTTGTCATTGTGGAACCTCACGTACGGTGGGTCCGATCTGAGGGCCGTGAGTTCACTGGCTCTTCTGGCCGAGGTGATAGCCACCAGGAATGCCGTTTTCCAAGAGAGGTGAGATATGTCATTGGAGGCCATGGGCTCAAAGGGCGGCTTTGATAGCTGGGATAGCACCAGCTCTAGGCTCCATTGTGGGGGAGGGGGGGCGACAGGAGGGTGGATATTTTTGTATCCTTTCAAAAACAATTGAACCAAATGATCTTGAAAAAGGGACGGCAAGCCACATTTTCTTCTAAAGGATGATATAGCAGCTAGGTAGCATTTAACTGAAGAGAAGGAAAAACCTTTATTAGAAAGGTGGACTAGGAAGTCCAGCACTATGGAGATGGGAGCTGTAGTAGGGTTGTGGCCAACTGATTTTGTGAATGTCGTGAATAATGACCACTTATAGGCATAAGACTTTGTGGTAGATGGTTTATGAGCAGCGAGGAGTATGCGTGATACGTCCTCTGATAGATTCATTGTGGTCTGATCCTCCATGCCGTTAAGCGGAGGGAGGGGAGGTCTGGGTGGAGAACGAGCCCGTTCTCCACCGTGAGAAGGTCTGGCAAGGGATCCAGATGGAAGTATTCCCTGTTGGAAATTTGGAGGAGTGTGGCAAACCAGTGTTGGCGTGGCCACCAAGGGGCGATCAGGATGCAATCCGAGTTGTCCTGAATTATTTTGGCTATGACTGGGGATAGGAGAGGGAGGGGTGGAAAAATGTAGATGAGGTTCGGTGTCCATCGGAAGAGGAAGGCGTCTCCGAGACAACCTGGGGATGCGTGAGGGAGGAGTCTTGCGCAGTATGTTGGGCAGTGGGTGTTCATTGGGGACGCGAATAGATCTATTGCGGGCGTCCCCCATTTGTGTGTGATGGTTTGGAATTGGGACATGTGGAGATGCCATTCGTGGTTGTTCTTTGTTGTTCTGCTTAGTGAGTCTGCCAATGTATTGTCTTGGCCTGGTAGGTGGATGGCCGAGAGGAGGATGTTTTTCTGAATGCACCATTCCCAGATGCGAGTTGAGATTGACGTCAGTGTTTGGGATCGAGTTCCCCCTGTTTGTTGATGTAATATTTGACTGCAGTATTGTCCGTTACTATTTGGACTATATGGTTGGAGGTGATGCGGGAGAAGGCTCGAAGGGCCTTCTCCACCGCCATCATTTCTAGTGCATTTATGTGGAAGCGGCGCTCCTGAGGGAGCCAGTGACCGCTGATTTTGAATCCCTTGAGATGTGCTCCCCAGCCTGAGTTGGAGGCGTCCGTTGTCAGGGACATGGACGGATGTGGCTGTATGAATGGCATGCCTAGGCGAACATTGTGTACCTTTGTCCACCATGTGAGGGAGTGTAGCACTACGTGTGGTGGGTGGAGGATTCGGGACTGCGGATCGTGGAGGGGGTCGAAAGTTCTGATGAACCAGTTTTGTAGAGGCCTCATCCGAAGCCGGGCAAAGGGGGTTACGCTGGTAGTAGATGCCATATGGCCAAGTATAGATTGGATGGCCCAGGCCGAGGCCTGTTGTGTTTGGATGAGTGAAAGAATAGCTTGTTGGAGTTTTAAAAAGCGGTCCTCTGGGAGGAAGGCTCTTTGGAGTGTGGAGTCTATGATGGCTCCTATGAATTGAATGCGTTGTGTTGGTTGAAGATGAGATTTTTTGTGGTTCACCACTAGGCCGAGATCCTGTAAAAGAGATAAGGTGTAATGAATATCTGTGCATAATTGAGACTTTGAAGTCGAGGCCAACATCCAGTCATCCAGGTACGGGAAAACTGTTATGCCTTGTTGGTGGAGGTGTGCGGCTATGACCGCCATGCATTTTGTAAACACCCTGGGGGCGGTGGACAAACCAAAAGGTAGAGAATTAAACGAAAAATGGTAATTTTGGACCGTGAAGGTAAGAAACCTTCGGTGGGAGTGTCTAATTGAGATGTGGAAGTATGCATCTCATAGGTCAACTGTTGCTAACCATGCCCCTTCGGGAATGAAGGGAAGAATGTTGGGGAGAGTGACCATGCGAAATCTGCGTGGGGTAATGAAAGTGTTGAGTTTGCGGAGGTCCAAGATGGGCCGGAGTCCACCATCTTTTTTGTCTATGAGAAAGTAATGAGAGTAGAAGCAGGTGTTAGATGTGTGTGAAGGTATGGAGGAGATTGCTCCTTTAATGAGCAAGGAGTGAACCTCGTCCCATATGGTCTGGGAGGGTTGTGTGACGATGACTTTCCCAACAGGTGGGTAGTCATCAAACTCAATTGCATAACCTCTATCAATTATATCAAGGACCCAAGTGTCTGTGGTTATGGATTGCCACTGTGGGAGGAATGAATGTAGTCTATTGAGGTAAGTGAGGTGTTGGGTGGTTGGTGGGGGAGGGAAGGAAATGTTAAAAACGTCTTTTGTTGTTGTTTGGGGGTCTGGTACCACGGTACTGACCTCTTGAGGGAAGTGGAGGGCGTCTCGTAGCCGCAGTGGGCGCATATGGTCGTTGTCGTCCTCTGTAGAATGAGGTGTTGTAAGGTTTGTTGTAAAATTGGGGGCGATAATAGTAGGAGCCCCAGCGCTGTCGTTGGTAAGTGTACGGTTGTTGGTCATATTTGTACACTGTTTGTTTCATCTCATGAGAGTGTTTTAGTTGTGAGTCGGTCTCAGGGTTGAATAGGCCTGCCTCATCCATAGGGAGATCCTCAATGAGAGAACGTTGAGATTGAGAAAGGATCGCATCTCTAAGCCATGCATGACGGCGAAGGGCTACTGATCCTGCAATTAGTTTCCCAGAATTATCAGCAGTGTTTCTTGCTAGGTCTTTTTGCAGTTTGGCTAAGAGAAGGGCCTCTTGTTGGAAAGCCTTAGCCAGTGGTTGCTCAGTTGGTGGTAAGAGTTCTAGGTATGGGGATATCTTGTTCCAGAGGAGAGTCTGGTAAACACTCATGTAAACCCCATAATGGGCCATGCGTGCGAAAAGGCATGCTGAGGAATAGAATTTTTTGGCCATAGAGTCTAGCTTCCTCCCTTCTTTGTCAGAGGGGGATGCTTGGTTTCTTTGGATAGGTCTTGGTTGAGCATCGGTCACCACAGAGTTTGCCTTAGGCATCTTAGAGAGCCATGAGGCTGTGGAAAGATCAATACGGTATAAGTTTTCTGCTCTTTTAGGGGTTGCTGGAACCAAGGCTGGGGCAACTCCTGTATTTTTTAGAATTTTCAAGAGAAATGGAAGTGTGGGCAACACAGTAGATGTAGGTGTTTGTTGTTCAGTGGATGTAAAGCATGGATCTGACACAGTATCTGAAGGTTCAGGAGTGGCAAAGTTTAGGGCTTTGGCAAGCCTTATTAACAGAGCTGAGAATTTTTTAAAATCTTCTAAATGTTGAGGGGAAGGGTCAGGGTCTGGTTGGGGATCTTGAATGACTGGTGTGTCATCTGTGGACTCCAAATCGATTGTATCTGTTTCTATTTGGGGGGGCATGGTAGGTTCCAAAGTAAAGCCCTGGGGATCCATCTCCCCTTGGGGATTTGGGGGACGAGAGAGTGTAGCGGAAGGAGGTTCACGCGGGGGTTGGGGAAAGTTTGGATCAGAGTAATGAGGTGGATGCATTCCCCTGAATGAATCAGGGGGGGGGGGGAGGTGGGTAGTAGAAGGGATAAACAGGGAAGGGAGGAGGGGGAGGGTACATGTGGTAAGGGTATTCCTGGTATCCATAAGGCTGCTGGTGAGAAGGAGGCACTGTTTTGGGAGGGGGAAGAGAAGGAGTTGTGGACTGGCGTGGAACCGGGGATGGAGAGCGGCGGCGGCGCCCGCTGGAGTGCGCCGAGGCGCTGGGCTGAGCCAGGGATGGTGACTCATCCGGTTCCGGGGATTGGGGAGGGCTGAGTGAAGGAGGTGAATTTTGAGAGGGCGGGAGGGGCGGGGGGGAGAGAGAAGCGTCTGGAGGAGGCTGCGGTTCCAGCTCCATGTGGGGAGCTAAGAGCTCGAGAGGAGGGAGATGGGAGGGGTCTTCCATGTGGAGGAGGGAAGGGAGCGGTTCCTGGAGCTGCAAAGTGGAACCGGGGAGAAAAGGCACAGACTGCAATACAGGGGGACTCAAGGGCTGTGTGCCAGTGAGTTGCCGTCCCTTTTTTTGTTTGTTTGATTTTTCTTTCGCTTTTGAAGACCTCGTGGTCTGTTTAGCTGTTTTGGATTTCTTTTTCTGCGGCTCCACAGTGGGAGAGTCCGCTTGCTCTCTGTCCCGCCTATCCCCAACGCGTGGGGAGGGAGGCTGGGAGGTAACTTGAACAGGGGAGGATTGAGAGGGGGCGGGAGGAGCTTGCGGGGCCAGGGCCCGCTCGTATAGGAGAGCTTTTAGTCTGGCATCTCTGCCTTTGCGAGCTCTGGACGTGAAGCTAAGGCAAATCTCGCAAGTCTGGAGATTGTGGGTCTCTCCTAGACATAAAAGGCATTTAGAGTGTTTGTCTGCCTCGGGGAGATTGGCCCCGCAGGAGGAGCAGTTTTTAAAACAGAGGGAAGACATCTAGCCTGATTTAGAATGGTCGTCAGCCGGTCCGTGGTCGAGGGAAAGAGAGGTCTGGTAGTCGAGGGAGAGTCCTGGGTCAAAAAGCCAACAGAGTCCAAAAAAGAGAAGGAGAAGTCCTGACGATGCTGCCTGTTTGGCGTGGAAAAAGGAACTACCTCTCAGACGCCCGCGGGGGCTGATATACCGGGGGGGGGCGGGGCTTATGTTTATTCTTTAAATAATCATTTAAAAATTCATTAAAAATTCTAGAAGTTCCGGATTTCTGCGCATGCGCACAGGAGAACCCATAGGTGTGCATTTCACGGAAGACACGAAGAAAAAATAATAAATTTACCTGTGGGGAAATTTCAATCTCAGTTGGGCATTATTTCCCCTCACTTTCCTGTCCACAAAGCAGACAAGTTGATAAGCTTGGGCTGAAAGCACATGGCCTTAACTAAGTGTATTTGATGAGGCTTGTACAGTCATGCATATTCTCTCCTTCCATCCTTCTCTTCCAAAACCACTCTGCCCAGATCAGACATTTCTGGTAAAATTCTTGCACTGATAAATATAAGTGGATAATACAGTTTCCTGTATTCTTTGAAAGAGAAGGCTGAAGACTCTGTAAAACTACAACTCTAGGATCCCATAGCATTCAGCCATGACAGTTTAAATGTGATCAGACTTCCTTAATTCTACTTAAGATTGCAAAGCGTTCTATTCTAGTCTGCTTTTGGTAGCTGACTGTGTGTTTTTATTTCAACAATTGTGATTTCTGTTGAATCAAAGGCATCGGAACCAGCCTGTCAAACAAAACAAAAACAAAATGTTTCAGAGTACCTGCAGATTCAGTTGCACCAGATCAGCCTCCCTCTTGGCCAGTGCTGCTTCAAGGATCCGATTATGTTCTCGAAGAGCAGCATTGGACTGGCCCAAGCCAGTGAGTTTTCCCCGTTCATGTTCTAGTTCCAAGGTGAGCTTCTTATTCATTTCTTCCAAACGCTTAATCTTCCTCCGGAAGCCCCTTGCTTCTTGAAGCTGAACCACAGAATACCAACATTTATATAACCTGAGGGCTATTGCAATTCAGCATTGCTTAAAGCTATTGAATGCCAAAGAATAGATATAGTTCAGCTGGGCCCAGTTTCATCAGGACTGGGTAAAAATGGGGCCAACCTCTCATGTTACTGAATGCCAGTTTCCATCAGCACTGGTCAGTGAGGAGGTATAGTGAGGAGGTATTGAGTCGGCAATTGGCTGAGAAAGGCGGTATACAAATACAGTAAATAAATAAATAATAAAATAAATAGGGAGGAGAATATAAATATCTGGAAGGCCAAAGATTCCTGAACTCTGTGCTAGAGCAATACTGGGCCAAGCAAATGAATGTTACAAGACTACACATTATGTACCTCATCTTCAAGTTCCAGGACCTTTTCTCTATACTCCTCAAGCTCCTGGCTGGTGAGCGAAATGACTTCTTGCAGCTCTTTTTCTAATACCATCTTACTGTGACTGAGCACCTGCAGCTCTGTCTCTAGAGCTTGAATCTTTTCCTGTAGGCAAATGATATTAGCTTAGTTAGCATCTCAGAAAGGGCAAACGAGCCATAGTTTAAGGTAGTGGTTCCCAACCTATGGCCCATGGACCTCAAAAACTAAAATATGGTCCACGGCCTCACCGTTACTACACCATTGCAACAAGAGCAAATGGTCTCGCAAAACCCTCTTATTGTACTGAGGCTTATTAAATATGGTGTTCTGTGGGTGAACAGATGGTGACTACTGGATGGCATATGTCTGCATCAGAAATTAGAACTGATGTGGTCTATCCAATGCAATTCTCTGAATCAGCACCCCAAATAATCAAACTGGATCTAAAGTTGACTAAAAACTGATTCGTAACCCTTTTGGTACTAATGTTGGAGAGTGGTCCCTGGTCAAAGTGGTCCCTGGTCAAATTAAGGTTGGGAACCACTGGTTTAAGGGAATCAATCCCCTCCCTCCTCAAGGTTAAGGATTCTGCTTACTAAACCAGCCTGGCTAGTTCCACAATCAGAGATTTGCGCCTTTAACTTGCTCAGCTCTGCTTCAGAGGACTCCTTTGCAGTGAGGGCTTCCTGCAGTCGGCGACTAAGGATCCCAACAGCATTTTCATAGGCTTTGTGCTTGGCTTTCATCTCCTTCTGGGCTGTGGTCAGGTCTGATCCCAGTCGCTTCATTTTCTGCTTCTGTTCTGTAATGGCCCTAAAAATTAAACCAAAAATGCAAAATGCAATTTTGTGCCTTAAGATAAACAAGTAGGACTCAAAAGGAAACGTTAAAGTACAACCACATCTTATAATTCTCTTTTTCTGGGATTGCAGACCACCATGATCTTCATTTTTTTCATTTGCTGCTTCCAGTAACTCTTCTGCAGAGTGACAACCAGGCATATGAGTATACTTAGTCCACGTTAGGCAATTTGGAGGATTTTTTTTTAAAAAGCCCCTTTGCCCTTCTGCAAAGTTCAAGTGCTGCCTGAACATGCGGATTCTACCCTTGTAGTTTCTGGACCGTTTCCAGCCTATCATCACACGAATTTTCATTGAATTCCCTCTAATGCTGAACAGAACCAAAATGTCAGCATATTATATATCTTAAAAGTGGGATTCCAAACTTTTGAAATGGGAAAAAACATACAAAGGCTGGGGAGTCACCCATATCCAGAGGATAGACACCCATCTGGGGCTCATTTTAGACTGCCATGGAAATACCTGCTCCAATGTTGATGTTGTAAACACAAAAACAGGGTTACCACAGTGTTACAATATTTAGTGAACGCAGTGCAATGTCCAGGTGTATCCCTTATTTGTGTTGTATGCATGATGACAAAAAGTCAAAATTGCTTTGAAAAGCTTTTGTTTTGTCCTGATTCTTCTAATTTGGTTGATGGCTACACTGGCAGCATTCTGAAAGGTAAAACATAAAGGTTCTGAGCTCTGAACTGTAATCTTCTAAGCTCTGTACATTCCTTCTCAGAAGAGACTTACACAAAACTCGTTTCAGCAGTATGATCCCAGGCTTGTGCTGAGTAAGGTCCAGAGCCCACTGCAACTTGGGCAAGGATAGCTTTTATTTAGAAAGCAACCTTGTGAGACTCATCCTTGGCTGTTGTGAAATTACGCCCATTGGCAGTGATTTCTATGTCGGAAAATGTGAGTAACTTAGATTTATTATCTGGAAATGGAATGCAACTGCTACAAACAGTGACAACTCTCCCACAGTGCTGATGGACTTTTAAAGAAGACTTTTTACAAACTATGAAGTCTAATAAGTTTGGTGGGGTAGACTGAATGTTCTGTATTAGCTAATAATATACATCACCATCTCAGAGTGTTTTCCGTCTTGGAAGCCCAAATTAAAGAAATTTGGATGGGTCTATCTGTAGCTTCAGAGTTTCTCAGAGAGCTAAGAAAAGTGCTATTCAAGCTGAAGAAACTGCAGAATTTCATGTATGAGTCCGACTATACTGGAATCATTCCTGACATGATCAATAGATCACTGAAACAAAGAATTTCAGAATGGGCATCCTTTATTCAGCATTCCAAAATCCAAACTGTTCCAAAATTGTCTACACGGGTGGCTGAGGTTGTGAAACCTTTGCTTTCTGATGGTTCCGTGCACACAAACTTTGCTTTATGTACATAATGTTTTTAATGGATATAAAATCAACACTGAGGCTGTATGTACGATAAGGGGATACATGAAACATAAATTAATTCTATGTTTAAACTGACCCATGCATAAGTCAACCCAGGTTTTTTGAGCTGATTTTTTGACAACAATTTCTAGACTTACACATAAGAACATAGGTTAAGTGGCATTTGCGCAGGAGACATTTTTAGTGGATTGGCATTCACTATATCAGATCTATGAGTGTTCTAGTCCGTCACTTTAATAAACACAAACCTATCCTGCTTCAACATAAGCAATTCCCCAGAGTCGAATATACTTTCACTCCTGGCTAGAACTGAGCTAGCAGGAGCATTAAAAATCAAATTCAAATTTAATTTGTCCCGCAATATCAATATGATATCCACGACATATGCCACACTATCAAGAGCATTACAAGCAGACAGTTGGCAACTATCCCATGAAATGCCATTGTATTTTTAGTACTAATTGGCATTTAGAAAATGGGATAATCAACATGGATATGATATTACACAGGGACACAATTTAATCAAATCAGGCAGTTAGACAAAGACATATTGTAAGAATGAAACTCTTGCTGCTTTTTAAAAAAATCTAGCGGACAAATGTGAATCAAGGTAAGCAGATGTATATTCTAAACTAATTAAGGTTATATTAACTGCTCATCTGCGTCTGAGATGACTGAAAAGAAGCAATCTATGGGAATAACAATGAGTTTATTTATATAACATTAGCAAAAAAAGCCTATGAACAATTAGGAGAAAAGGAAATCCTTTAAACATCAGGGCACTAAACTGCTGCAATAAATTATTTCCAAGCTCTGATTCAGAGATAATGCGAGCCATGACTCAGTACTACTTTACATCAACAAGTCTGAAAGACTCTTGTACCAATGTGCTTTCATCCCTCCCTCCCACATCTCACCAAATTGGTACACCTCTGATTTGCAAGATCAGTGCAAACCAGCACTAAACTGTGCTCTTCATTCCTGGTTTATGTAGTGTGCCACTTTGGACAGGATAAAAAAATATCTAATGCTCACCTTTTTTGGGCTAAATTATCTTGCTCACATGAGAGTGCGCATTAGATGCAGGTAATATGGTAACCTTCGTGCTGATCCAAAGCAAAAGGGGATGCTGCTTCAGGAGTGCCTGGAGCTCTTAATTGAGGGATGCCACCTCAAATGTAATTGCCAGGGCTGAATGCTACGCACTCCTGTGATTGGTAGTTTGGTGAGGCATCAGCATTCTTTGACAGAGAAGAACCAAGACCTTATACATTTGTATAATTTTCTAGAACCAGAAAGATGTGAATAGGTCTCCAGTCATCTATGGTCTCCACCCTTGGAAGGCAATCATACTCGGCCACGATGGATCACCCATGATGATTTTAATATGTGACCTATTATATATACTTGATACGTCAAGAAATGTTGATCTTAAAAGATAGTCTACAAACCTCAGTCAATGCTGTAAACAGGTAATGAAGACACTGACTCAATGAGCAGGGCAATTTACAGCCCCCCCCCCCCCATCCCCTGCCATTTAACCCCTCAAATAAACAGATCCTCTCTTTCTCCTTTGCATTTCCTAAGTATGTTTCCTCTATGTCTTTTTTCAAAAGAGAATCTCTGTTATATGCCCCTCAAATTTACTCTTGGCTTATCCACAAGCCATAGCAAATTTTGTAATTTTGGGCCCAAAACCTACACTCGACTTAATTTGAGTATAATCGGTCCTTCTTTATTTTAATTGTATGGGTTATTAAATTCAACTTTATTATCAACTGCCTTGAGGTCCATCTTGGGAAAAAGCTGGAGGGAGATGAATCCCAGTACCTTTATACATGCATGAATGGTATCTTAGGATTTTTTAAATGTTTTACTTGAAACTTTGAATTATTTGCTTTTATGTAATCTAGGCTGGGAAAGTGAGAAAAAAAAGGACAAAAAGAGACAGCAGAATTCTGGAAAGCAGAAAACTCATACTCACGATTTTGTTTCTTGTTGCATTTCATCAATTTGCCGTTTTAATGTTTCATTCGTCTCAGCAAGAACAGACATCTGCTCTCTGTCAAACTGCACGGACTGAAAAGCATGGAGGAAGCACAGAAAGAATAAAGTGGAAAAGATGGCTATAAGCTACATATTCAATAAAAGACTCATAATTTATATATTTGGTAACAGGGCTATGCAAAAGTGAATAAATTCAAATGTGTTTATAGCCTACCCAATGGGCTCGGGACTTGATAGCGACCATATTCTTCACGAGACATCCCAGAATATTCCAAAGTCTACCCCAACAAACTTTAATGCTAATTATGGCTTTTTTTAAAAAAAAATCAATCATGGTTTAAAATCAAACTGCATAAGGCTCATTCCAAGGAAGCTCCCTTGATCCTGGACCGGTGCCTGGCAGTTGTGATGGACTGGATGAGGGCCAACAAGCTCAGGGTGTAGGGTGGCGACCTGTGCTCAACGGGGTTACACTTCCCCTGAGGACACAGGCCCGCAGTAATTTTCCTGCTTCTTGGCAGGGGGTTGGACTGGATGGCCCATGAGGTCTCTTCCAACTCTATGATTCTGTCTTTGAGACCACATCTCCTATGAACCGGCACAGGCTTTGAGATTTGCTAGGAAGGCCCTTCTCTCAGTCCCATCACTGTCTCAAGTACGATTGGTGGGGACAAAAGATAGAATCTTCTCGGTGGTGGCACCCCAGTTCTGGGATGCCCTCCCTAGAGAGATTAGGTTAGCCCCCACTCCCTAAACCTTTTGATCTAGCCTAAAAACCTGGCTTTTTAAATAGGCCTTCTAGTTGGAGTAGACTGAAATGGGTGCATATGAGGACTTTAGCACTTTAGTTTGTTAATTGATGGCAGCCGCTTCTATCCACAGGTATTGCTGCATTTTATAAATTTTAACAATTTTTTACTATGTGAAGTTATTTGGGTTTCATTGTGGGTGTCGCTATAATTTATGCTGTTATTGTTATTATGCTTATGTATTGTATATTTTATATGCAGCACTTTGGAGTGCAACATATCAGAGATTAATATTGTCTAGGGAGGCCCTGTTATCCGTCCCACCTTTTTCGCAGGTGCAGTTGGTGGGAACGAGACAGGGCCTTCTCAGTCGTGGCCCCTCGGCTGTGGAACTTTCTCCCCAGTGATATTAGAGCAGCTCCCTCCCTCCTGGTCTTCAGAAGGAAGTTGAAAACCTGGCTCTGGGGTCAAATTTTTGGAGACTAACTATAGTGCAGTAATAGCTACAGAATTATGTACAATGACCTTTGGAACAGCTACGGATTGTGATAGTGGTTGGCGTGATTTTAATATTGATTGCAATGTTATGTATGTTTTTATGTGCATTTAATTTTAATTTTTTTTAAAAAAATAATTTAATGTATTTTATTGTTTGTTGTTCAAAGGCATTGAATAGCTGCCATATGTAAAGCCGCCTTGAGTCCCCTTTGGGATAGAGAAAGGTGGGATACAAACAGACAGAGAGAGTGCTTTTGTGAGCTGCCCTGAGTTCCTGCAGGGAGATGGTGGAGGGGTATCAATAAAGTTTATTATTATTATTATTTGTTAAAGGTTGTTGTTGGAAATACAAGCAAAAACATCCAATCTGTTCCATTTGACCAATCTGAAAGAGGAGATGAGGATAATAATGAGAACTGCAAGGATGTGGAGGAAAGGAAGATAATAATAATAATAATAATAATAATAATAATAATACATTTATTATCCACCTCTCCTTGCAGCTCATGACATTTGTTCCCAACCAAAGTGGAAAGCAACTTATTCCAACAGACATTGAAGCATTACAATGATCCCTCGGTACTCAAACATTACAATTACTATAACTATAACTACTACTACTACTACAAGTTCTTGGTATGTATGGATACCAAAATCTGTGGATGCTCAAGTTCCATAATATAGTAGTGAAATGGCATCTCTTATAGGAAATGCCAAACAATTCAAAGGAGTGCTGGAGGCTACAATGAGGTGTAACTACGCATCAGCGTAGCACTCAGAGTGTAGCAAAATCAAGGTTTGCTTTTACGTTTTTTTTTAAAAGTTGAGCTATGGTTAGTTGAAGCTGTGGATGCAGAATGTGTGGATATGACGGGCCACCCGCATTATGAAAGGTCAAAAAGGGCAGGCTCGGTGTCCTATGTACCTGCAACTCCGCCTCCATGCCATCCCGCTCTCTCTGGGCCACTTGCAGCTGACTTTCCAGCTCTTCCAATTGCTGCTGGACACGAGACACTTCCTTTGCCAGCTTTGCATTTTCAATGTCCACCAATTTCTTCTCATCCTGAAGGTGGAGAAGTTCTCGTCTTAACTCCTTCATTTCGGAGTCCAACCTCTTTTTGGTAGCCTTCAGTTCACTGATCAGTTGGTCCTTGGAACTTGCATCTCTACGGTAAGCTTCCACCATTACCTAGATATCAAGAAAAAAACACTGATGCTAACTGAGGGTTTTTAACAGTTATTATAGCATACAAGAACTACAGTTTGGTATATTCTATTGATATACCAAAGGAAGCGATAAACAGGCTTGAACTGAGAATGCCTCTCCTAAACAGAATCAAATCTCTCTCTCTTTCCTTATGATGATGATGATGAAGAATCACGACAATCTGTAAGTAGAAATATACAGTGTTTCCTCACTACTTCGCAGTTCGCTTTTCGCAGAGATTCTGGGATGAAGTTATATCACAAATAAAACAAATAGCGAGGGAAATAACATGTTTCAGGGGAGCTTTATTATAGATCTCTGTACTCAAAAGTAAGATGTGATAATTGTTGTCTTGTATTGTTCATGTTATATGCCACAAGATCCAAAATAGTCAAAATCTGGAAAAAGCTAGAGAATGTATCAATAAAGAATTGGTTAAATAGGATGTGGGTTATAGCACTATCAGAAATATTAAGCTATAAATTAAGATTAGCAAAAGGAGAACTGAAAGATCTTACTGATAATACAATTTATTAGCTTCAGGTATTAAAAAATGCAAATTTAAACCACCAAATGTCCAAGAAAGATCGTGGATGAACAATTAGAAAATGGGGGATATAGATTTGAGAACAGATGATGTAACAATACAATTGTATTATGTTTTATATATTTTGAAATAAAAATTACAAAAAATGTAAAATGTTACAAAATGTAACATGGACCAATTAGGAGAAAAACACAATTCTGATTAGCAGTTTACTTTAAAATATACACATTTGGAAGAGGACACACACACACACCTTTTGTTGAAGTAATTGTTCCTTTATCTTTTGTGTCTGTTTCTTGAAGGCCATGCTTTCTTGTTGCAGATTCTCCACCTATTAGAAAAACCAACCTCAGCATTACTTGCGCACTGGGTAGCTTTAGCCTTCAGTCCAAGCATCTTCATGATGATGCAACATCTCCAATAAAATAAAGTTTACCACAATGTGATGAACAGAGTTTAATGACAACTTCTGAAAAGGGGGTTGCTGTGAGTTTTCCGGGCTGTATGCCCATGTTTCAGAAGCATTCTCTCCTGATGATTCTATGATGTTTCGCCCACATGTATGGCAGGCATCCTTAGAGGCTATGAGTCCTGTTGGAAACTGTTGGAAACTAGGCAAGTGGAGTTTATATATCTGTGGAATGTCCAGGGTGGGAGAAAGAACTATTGTCTGTTTGAGGCAATTGATGACCTTGATTAGCATTAAATGGCCTTGCAGCTTCAAAGCCTGGCTGCTTCCTGACTGGGGGAATCATTTGTTGGGAGGTGTTAGCTAGCCCTGATTTTTCTTGTCTAGAATTCCCGTTTTCTGAATGTTGTTCTGTATTTTCTGTCCTGATTTTAGAGTTTAGTTTCCAACAGACCTCACAACCTATGAGGATGCCTGCCATAGAGAATGCTTCTGGAAGATGGCTATACAGCCCAGAAAACTCACAGCAACCCAGTGATTTTGGCCATGAAAGCCTTCGACAACACAACTTCTGAACAAAATTCTAGCAAACAGTACTCAAACTCCAAGGTACAAGCTGACTTTTCCGCATTTCAAGCAAATGAATTTGAATATGCTGCATACAATCTTGATTTGACTGTAGCATTATTCACAAGACATGCAGCTATGGTAGGTTTTGCCAAACAAATGATTATTACCGCTTCTTATCAGAAGCTAGAGAATCCAAATAAGCTCACTTCCCAAAAGGTTACATGGTAGATTTGCTACAGATATAGTTGATTCCAAAGTCAAAACTCTAGCTAAGGTGATGGGGTAACATAAAACATCATGGAATATTTTCACTTTAGGACACATATGCCAAATCCAGCCCACCATGTCATTTTATGCTGGACTACAACTCTTCTATTATTTATCATTAGACACCATGACTACGGCAGATGGGAGCTGGGATACAATAACATCTGGAAGGCTGCAGTTTGTTCTGTTTAGATACAAAGCTTGCAGATAGGCTGCCTGGCTTTAAAATGTCCTCTAATCTTTCCCAAACCTCTGAGCCACAAGGACTGTTGGGTTTCAATTCCCATCATGCTCAGTCCACATGGCAGATGATCAAAAGGGATGAGAGTTGTCTTCAATAACATCTGGAGACCCAAACTGAGAAATAACTAAAGAGCACCATCCACCAAGTAAAAAATTACCCATCTATATAAATAAAAATATAATGTTCATTTGTAGGATTAACATAACTCAAAAGCCACAGGACAAATTGACACCAAATTTGGACACAATACACATATCAGGCCAACAAGTGACCATCACTCATAAAAACACTGAAAAACACAGCAGAAGAGACTTAAAAAGGCAAAAACCAAAAAATACATTACAACACATGCGCAAAACCATATTGCACAAACACACATATACACACACACAAAACACATATACACAGACTGGGCCACTTCAATGCGTGGCAGGGGACAGCTAGTCTATATAAATAAAAATGTAATGTTCATTTGTGGGATTAACTTAACTCAAAAACCACTGAACAAATTGAAACCAAATTTGGACACAATACACATATGAGGCCAACGAATGACCATCACTCATAAAAACATTGAGAAACACAGCAGAAGAGACTAAAAAAGTCAAAAAACAAAAAAAATTACAACGCATGCGCAAAACTATATATATATAAGCAAATACACATATAAACAAATATACACACACATATATACACACACAAAACACATATACACAGACTGGGCCACAGCAACGCATGGCAGGGGACGGCTGGTGTGTGTGTGTTTGTGTGTGTGTGTGTGTGTGTGTGTGTATATATATATATATATATATATATATATATATGAATGAGTTTGCTCTCTCCAAGGATTCTCTGACTATGGATTCAATGGCCCTTTGAAGGCAACCATGAGGATGGCGTGGCCCTCCATGAAAATGAGTTTGACATCCCTGCTTTAGGGGAATCTTGTCAATATAACACACTGCTGATAAATGTAAAAATGAAAGTATAGTCTATGGGGTACAGAGGTGCAGATTACCTGACTTGATTTGATGGCTATTTCTTGCCTCAATTGCTGTAAAACATCTGAGGCTGCCTCTGTACTCTCTTCTAAATGCTGAACTCCTTCATCAAGCCCTTCTTTGCCTGCTTTTGCAACCTGTAGTGCTACTTCCAGGACGATCTTCTCATTCTGCAAGTATCGGATTGAGTCATCCTTTGAGGTGGCTTCCCCCTGCAGCTCCATCAGCCTGGCCTCCAACTCATCGTAACGTCTCTGCAGGTCAGCCAGGGACTCCTCGCGGGTCTGCAATGTCTCCTGGGTGGAGCTCAACTGCTTCATGAGATCTAGTTGTTCCTGCTGTAAAGCCTCAACCTGAAGATCTCGTTGATGCAATGTCAATTTAACCTGAATAAAGAGCAAAGAAATACATTCACACTCAGATGCTCTCCCTGTGCGAACATATGCATCTTTATCCTTGCCGCAATTATGATTTATAAGCAATGTACACTCATCAATATCGGCTACCCCCAAATTGCAGTTTGGGGACATTTACAATGAGAGTACAAAGGATAAGAGTGGCAATAGTGGTCCTCAGAAATTGATTTTGAATCAAAATGTGAATTTTTCTTCTTGCGAACAGATTCCATTTCAAGCCAACTTATCCTCAGAAATGGGTCTTTAGTAGTCATAGAATCATAGAGTTGGAAGAGACCTCATGGACCATCCAGTCTAACCATTTGCCAAGAAGCAGGAAAATCACATTCAAAGCACCCCTGACAGATGGCCATCCAGCCGTTGTTTAAAAGCCTCCAAAGGAGGAGCCTCCACCACACTCCAGGGCAGAGAGTTCCACTGATGAACAGCTCTCACAGCTAGGAAGTTCTTCCTAATGTTCAGGTAGAATCTCCTTTCCTGTAGTTTGAAGCCATTGTTCTGCCTCCTAGTCTCCAGGGCAGCAGAAAACAAGCTTGCTTCCTCCTCCCTATGACTTCCCTCACTCACATTTTTATGCACGACCATCATGTCTCCTCTCAGCCTTCTCTTTTGCAGGCTAAACATGACCAGCTCTTTAAGTCGCTCCTCATAGGGCTTGTTCTCCAGACCCTCATTTGAGTTACCCATTTCTGGACACATTCCAGCTTGTCAATCTCTCCCTTGAATTGCGGTGCCCAGAATTGGACACAGTGTGATTCCAGGTGTAGTCTGACCAAGGCAGAATAGAGTTACAATTTGTGCGCCAACTGCAACCGTATCTTGAGATGCTTGACATGGCCTCAGTGGTCCACGCCTTAGTTACATCTAGATTGGATTATTGCAATGCACTCTACATGAGGCTGCCTTTGAAGATGGCTCAGAAACTGCAACTTGTGCAAAGGTTGGCAGCCAGGTTGTTAACTGGAGCGAGTTACAGAGAGTGGATGACGGCTCTACTGAAGCAGCTCCACTGGGTGCCAATAAGTTTCTGGGCCCAATTCAAAGTGCAGGTTATTACCTACAAAGCCCTAAATCAGGGGTCCTCAAACTAAGGCCCGAGGGCCGGATACGGCCCTCCAAGGTCATTTACCTGGCCCTCGCTCAGGGTCAACCTAAGTTTGAAATGACTTTAAAGCACACAACAACAACAATAACAACAACCCTATCTCATCAGCCAAAAGCAGGCCCACAGTTTCCATTGAAATACTAATAAGTTTATATTTGTTAAAATTGTTCTTCATTTTAATTATTGTATTGTTTTTAAGTGGGTTTTTTTCTGCACTACAAATAAGATATGTGCAGTGTGCATAGGAAATCATTCCTGCTTTTTTAAAATTATAATCCGGCCCTCCAACAAGTTGAGGGACTGTGACCTGGTCCTCTGCTTAAATAGTTTGAGGACCCCTGCCCTAAATGGTTTGACTCCTGATTATCTTCGCGACCGTATCTCCCTCTATGAAAAGCTTAGATCTGCTAGGGAGGCCCTTCTTTTGCTCTCACCTCCATCACAAGCATGGTTGGTGGGAACAAGGAAGAGGGCCTTCTCTGCAGTGGCCCGCGGCGATTAAATTAGCCCCCACCCTGTCCGCCTTCCCGAAAACTTGGCTCTTCCAATGTGCCTTTGAATAATGGTTTAGCTACTGATTAAGTCTGCCTAGCCCTAATCCTTTGGTTGGATCACCAGAACTTTATTCCCAGCCTGGCCCTACAGTTTTGTATTTGCAAAGCCCTTGCACTGCCCTATTAGTCTCAAACCTCCACATGCCCACTTTCAGCTACTGATTGTTTGATGTCTGGTTTATGTTTTATGGTGTTTTACATTTCATTGGTTTTACTGTTTTAAAATCTTTTACTGTTATATGTTTTTAATTGTGTTATTTGTAACCTTTGTTTATATTGGGCTTGGTCCCCATGTAAGCTGCCCCGAGTCCCTTCGGGGAAATGGAGGCGGGATATAAGAATAAAGTTGTTGTTGTTGTTATTATTATTATTATTATTATTATTATTATTATTATTATTATTATTATTATTGGTGAGAATCACTCATTGAGTTCCTTTGCTTAACCAATTGCAGATCCAGCTAACCATAGTTTTGCCTAGGCCACATTTGACTAGTTTGTTGCCAGAAAGTCATGGGGGACCTAGTCGAAGGAAGACCTTTCTGAAATCCAGATATACTACATCCACAGCGTTCCCTGCATCTACCCAGCTTGTCACTCTACCCAGCTTGTATGTCTTACTAGTTTACAACAGTTTTTATGGGAGTTTCATTTTTTCTCAACTAGCTTTTGCCCTCTGCTCATATGAAATGTAAACTCCTGGAGCAAATGTTATGTTAGACTTTCTATAAAAAGCCCTGAATTCTAACTATCAACTTACCTTTTCTAGCTCCTGCTCCAACATTGTTGCAGAATCAGCCATTTTCTGGAGTTGCTCCTTCTCATCCTCAAACTCTGTCAGTTTTCTCTGTAAATCGTCTTCCACCATTGTCTTCGCTTCTTGGATCTGCAGAAAAGCTGCTTCTTGATCTAACATGTCAGCCTGTTTGAAAGTAACAGACAATGTTGACAAGTTAAAGAGAAAAAGCAGCCAAAACAGCGTTACCATACAGGAACACTGAAAAGCAAACAATTTAGCCCTGTAATACCCTTTTCCCCATCCTTTATCCAGATAGTTCAGTTCTGAAGACATTCCTCTTTAGGACAGCATTTATCTCAATTCACATTAGGGAAGGAAATGTTCTTTGGTTCATATTATCAAAGCAAGCTAATCCACACTTTCCCAAATATCATGGAGATCACAATACATCCATACCAAGCGTGGGGCTTGCATTTTCCCATTCTCCTTTTCACCATGGCCATCAGGAAAAGTACCTCCAGTTACTGTATATACTCATATATAATTCTAGAAATTATAGTCAGAACATTGACCCTCTCTGAGCAGAGTGGCGGAAAGCACACTATTCTGGTAGAAACACCAACCTATCCACAAGCCATATCCAAGTCCACAAATTTGGTTCCAAAACATGCCTTCTACTTTTACATGAGATAGACATATACACTAATACATTTGGTAAACTTTACTGGGAATTACTATTGCAGCCAAATGAACACATTGTGTATACATTTCCTATGATTTGGAACAACCCAGTTTAAAAACTAGAGTAGTGACCTATGGATCTGAATACAAACTGTCACATGTATATCTAAACATGCACAGCACAAAGAAAATGGGCATTTGAGTTTCTTCTTTTCAAATCACAAAGTTTGGGGATTATAGCCCAACAGTAAACACATACAGATGAATACAACTAGTTTTTGTTCATCCACTTCCATTAAGGGAAAACCCTTCATTAGGAAACCTCAGCAAATCCACAGAAAAGTACACTTGAAGCTTTACCTCTATATTTTGTAACTGCGTAGCTATTCGCTCCTTCTCTTTGATGGATCTGTGCTGAGTCTCTGTTAACTGATGAGAGAGTGTTACATTCTCCAGCTTGAGATGCTCCAATAGGCCCACCTGTGTCATCTGGCCAGCCTTGGGAAGACAAGAGGATGAGAGGAGATATCATTCGGAGCTCGGACTCTCAACTAAGACACATTTCCTGAAGCCATGATGCTTCTCGGTGGTTTTCAACTATGCCACTTTATGCCACTTTAGCCTGCTTTTAATACTATCAGTACTCCATGTTGGACATCAAGACAACTACATTGTTCTATTACAGTGCAGTGTTTCATGAAGTCCATACCAATTGTTGTTTCTTGCCCTCCCCCCTTTTTGGTAAGCTACTCATAAATAGAAGAGCAGGGTAGAAATAAATCATCCTCATCCTGATCATGCATGTACTAAAATTTAAGACTTCTTGATAGTCTGGTAATCCTCAAATGACCTGACAGTTCTGTGACCTACTTCAGCCCAAGTATCACCACACATTCTCTTTCTCATGCTTAAGCATTGTGTTTTGTCGCCTATGTAGCAAACATGGCACCAAGAGTACACAAGTGTACGACCAGGCTAGATGGAACACCAAGGTTTTCAAAAATAAAGTGTAAAAGCATTTCAAAAAATGGCAAGAATAGTTGATAGGGAGGTACCAAAAGAGCCCAGTCATGAGTGAGCATAGCTAGTGGACTGAAAAGAATTAAGAGCAAGTGGGAAGAAAATAGGATACCCTCAAAAGGGGTACTTCACACTCCAATATTTTGTTGCAGGGTCCGTTCTGCTACATAACATTTATATAATTAACTGTTAAGTGCGCTCAAGCAAGTTTTGAGTTATGGTACCCCTAAGGCAAGGGTGTCAAACTCATTTTCATGCAGGGCTACATCTGCCTGATGGTTGCCTTCAGTGGGCTGTTGAATCCACGGACAGAAAAGCCATGGATACAGAGGGCCAACCATATATAAAGAGCACCAAACTTTATGTGTTTGTATGTATGTGTATCTATCTCTCTACCTATCTCACATAGTGGTCGGTGCTCTTTAATTTTTATCCATTTTGGGTTCCCAAATGTTATTGAACTCCTCTCATACTTTTTATTCTCTGCCATGCAGACTGGGGATAATGGGAATAGCAACCCAACAGCCTTTGCAGTTCTGAGGTTGGGAAAAGGTCAAAGGGCATTTTGAAGCCAGACATCATATCCACAAGCCTTGTTTCTACATCCAAACTCCACTCTCCTGCCTAAACAGAACATACTGCAGTCTCTCAGATGTTCCTGTACCCCAACTCCCATAATCTCTAGTCATGATCATGTCTAATGATGAGGAAATACAGTTGTAGCCCAGCATCTGGAGGGCCATATAAAATGACATGGTGAGCCGCATTCATCCTGTGGGCTTTGAGTTTGACAGAAATGGCCTAGAAAGAACATATTATCAAATCCATGAATTGTCAAATTTGCAAAATTTAAACCTGCCAATGTGGAGAGCCAACTGTACTATTGCTAACTGTGCTATTATTGACAGAGAGACCTAGGGCAAATCCTGGTTCAGCCATGAACTCATCAGTTAGTCATGGTCAAATGTCTTAATGAGAAACTGTACCATGGTAACATTCCACAACAAAAATACTATAGGACCAAAATACTACAGGAATAGGAGGAAAGTCATATTCACCTGGATGTTTGCCATCTCGCTCTGCAGCCGAACCCTTGCTTCCTGGGCCACAGCCAACTGCTGTTGGTACCACTGCCGTACTTTTTGCAATGAGGCAATCTCTGCTTGAGATGATTTCAGCTTATTCGTCAATGTTGTGCGTTCCAACTGCACCTGCTGGAGCTGGCTTTGTAAGGACGAAAGCTGCTGCCGGAGATCATGCACTAAAAGCCAAAGAGAAATAAAAGTAGTAAGGTTTAGCAACTCTACCAATAACAACAGCGAGGAAATCACATCTTCATTTTTCAGAGATTCATATCCCATCTGTGAACATAAAAATAGACAACCACAGGAATGTTTCAAAACTCTAACCCTGCTAACAAGAAAAACAAACCACTAAACCCAATTTAAAAGTCATACATTACTAAACTGTTGGTACATGCTGAATATTCCTTATTCAAAAGACTTGGGCCCAGATATGTTTTTGGTCCTAATTTTGGAACACTTGCATTTGCAGATACATCCATGATAAGTTTTTATTGTGAAGCTGGAACCCAGATTTAAACCCAAAATTCATTTGGTTCGCATGCATCTTCTACCCATTACCTGGGGATAATGTTATACAATACAATGTAATAATTTTGTGAATGAAACAAAGTTTGTATACATTGAGCCAATGGAAAGTGGTTATTACAGCCACTCATGTTGACAATTTGGGAATTCAAGATAAACTGCCCAATGTGTATGAAAAATTCCTAAAATAATATTATACATTGTTCACAGAAAATCGACTGTGAATGGATAAAAATCAAAAGCTTGTGCATCTCTTATACAAGTGTCTAACTCAAGGCCCACAACTGAATTTGACCCTCCCTGTCATTTTATGTAGCCCTCCAGGTGCTGGGCCACGACTCTTGTATTCCTCATCATTAGACAGCATCATGATTAGAGCTGATGGGGGTTTGGATACATTGACATCTGGAAGTCTGCCATTTGTTCTTTTTAGTCAGGATGTTAGGGTTTGGATCTGGATACAAAGGCTGTGGATGTGATGTCTTGCTTTAAAATGTCCTTTCACTTTTCCCCAACCTGAGCGCTACAGGTGCTGTAGGGTTACAATTCCATTATTCCCAGTCCACCTGGCGGATGAGCAAAAGGGATGGGAGCTGTTGCTCAATAACAACTGGGGACCCAAACTGGGTAAAAACTAAAGTGCACTGACTACTCTGTAAAAAAAATCTAGCTGGCCCTCTCTCTGTCTCCACAGATTCTCTGTCCATGGATTCAATGGGCCTTAGAAGGCAACCATCAGGCTGATGTGGCCCTCCATGAAAATGGGCTTGGCACCCTGGTCCATTGCCTTACCTGTGCTATCCTTCGTTAGGATGCTTTTCTGCAGGTCTTCGACTTTCCCCATCAGCCTTTGGTATTGCTCTTCTGCCACCTGCAGGTCATTGCTGGAAGCGGCTAGGCCAGCATTCTTGGCCTCCAGCGCTGCCTGCAGCTCTGCCATGGCTCGTTCCAGGTCCCAGCAAGACTGTTTTAAGGTGGCCACCTCCACATTCAGAGAGTCCTGCTTCTGCTGGCTGCTCTCGCTATGCTCCATCTGGGTCTTGAGCTTCATGTGCAAAGCAGCAAGCTGGGCTTGCAATTCTGTCTTTTCTTTGAAAGCCTGAATAAAACCAACATTTATAATATTTTAAAATGTGTCATTGGGATTCAGACGACACAGAAGGCGGACAGATTATGATGGTCTTTCAAGCTCCTCTTGAAATCTGCATTTCACACAATCAACAATCAACCTTCTCATCAAGGACCACAGTGTCTTAGATCATGGCTTCTTACATCTTTTCCACTCGCAGCCCTTTCTGCCCGAATTTTTTTTATATGACCCTAAAGTAAAGGTAAAGTTTTCCCCTTGACATTAAGTTTAGCCGAGTCCACCTCTGAGGGGAGTGGTACTCATCTCCATTTCTAAGCCAAAGAGCCGGTGTTGACCATAAACGCCTCCTAGGTCATTTGGCCAACATGACTGCATGGAGCACTGTTACCTTCCCACAAAAACAGTACCTATTGATCTCCTCACATTTGCATCTTTTCAAACTGCTAGGTTGGCAGAAGCTGGGGCTGACAATGGGAGCTCACCCCATTGTGTGGATTTGAACTGCCAACTGTCTGATCAGCAAGTTCTGTAGCTTAGCGGTTTAACCCGTTGCGCCACCGCAGCCCCTTATGGGACCCTAGGCATTTAGATATATAAAATAGGCATACAAAATCAAACATTTACGGATAACAAATCAGCATTTGCAAGGCTTGCTAAGCAGACCAATTTTCCTTTTTGTGGAGTACAGCTGAAGCATTTTCTACAGAGTCCACTGTAACCATTGCATGTTGCTGGTAACAGATTTCTGTAAATGGGTGGCATTCCTTAACATTTCACTCTTGCCAAATGCTTCATGATGTCAAGACTGAGTTCCATTTGGGGCTGGAAACCACCATTTAAGAAGCAGTTTCTTAGCTGGACTTCATTAGGCCCTACTATCCTGGGGTGGGAATACAACCATCCCACACTCAGTTTATGAAGTTCCACAACTGTAGAAAAAAAATGTTCAGGTGATCCTCTGTAAAAAAAATATTTTCAAGATTCTGTATCTTGAATTTTTTTAACTCCCAAAAGGAAACCTTGATTTTTCCATATTATATAAGGGGTCTATTTTCTCACACCACTGTATACAATGAGCATCCATTGATTTTGCTAACCACAGGGATTCCTGGAACCAAACTCCTGCAGTTACCAAGGGCCCACTGTAGTTTCATTACCATTATATATATACATACATACATACATATACACACAGACACACACACGCGCGCGCGCAACACTTTGCTTTCTTTTTATTCAGAGCCTACTGTTCAAAAAGACCCTGTCAAATGCAGACATATAAATGTAACTGTGTTGTTCTTTCAATCCCAGTCTCTTTGTTTTTAAGTGCCACACAAGGAGATCCCTTGAGAAATTTCAATGACACTCAGCAAAAATGTTCAGCTTCATTCATACCTCATTGGCTTCTAATGACAGTGCTTCTAGCTGTCCTTCAAGCCTCATCTTTTCTTTGAGGACCTGCAACATTTCATCATGCGTGCCTGCGACAGAACTCTCCATTGATATACTGGGGAGAGAAAAAGTAGATGCTTTTGACAAATGCTGTGCCAACAGTGCTATTTTCATTTGTGCTAAATCAATAACAGACAGCTCATGATATAGTCCCAACATACTCTAATACCTTAGGCTTGGCAAGACTGGTTCAGAAACTTGAAAGCAACTTGGCCCATTTTGCTAGCAAAACTAAACAGAGTTTATTTGTTAGTTCATTCAAATGACTCCCAAACCAAGGCAAGTGTTCAAGTTATTTAAATGTGGAGATAACTTGTGATTAAGTGGAAATGAGATAAAACTGAGCTGTGGTATTTACTAATTATCCACTGGCTAATTCTAACTGTGGTTTGAAAGAGATCAGCATTAAGACATCATTACAGTATCACAGAGGAGTAAGCTTCTGAGAAACTACAAATAATCCCATTCTTAAAGGACTAAAGTGGATAAGAGCATCTAAAAGGCATAAACCCATGAATCTTGTTAAGTGCCCAAAGCTGGAAACAACTTCATGTGGATTACATACTTAATGGCGCATGAGAAGGATAACAAGGTTTATAGAGAGGTGAACACATAGTGAGGTTACCCTTCATAGAAAAATGCTGGATGAAACCCAACAGATCACCCAGTGCAGAAAAGGGTCAACTCAGCTAACCATGATTCCAACTATGATTCAGATGCACACCAAATTTATATCCATGGCAGGACTCAAGGTAGTGCATGCAAATTCTGAGAACATATTTTGACCTAGATCTGCTCAGTTTCAGAAGAGCCACCTCATATTCCTTCAGGCTATAGTCCTGGATTCAGTTCTTCTGTTAAGCTAAGTGTGTCTGGGCTAAAGCCTTATTTCACTGAGACTCTACCAAGGAGATCTCTTTCTTCATGCATATTGCTTTAGGCTCTTTGACATAAAAGATGAAGCTGCTGGAGCTTGGTGACTGAGAACATAGCCTGAATGATGAAAGTTCAAGGATCTTGACATCCACAGGTAAGGATAGTAAAGCTGCCTGTCTAAAACCCCAAACGACTCATTGGAAAAGATAGTAATACCTGACAAAATGGAATGCAAAGAAAGAACACATTACAGATGTATTTACTCCATAAAGGAAGCTAAAGCTCTGGGTTTGCAAGATATAAATATGGCAGTTAGTGACAGGGGCTCAGGGGGGTTTCTCATTCATAGGGCTGCCATATGTCAAAGCCAAATGAACACAAGCAACAACAAACTCTCACTAATTTCTTGGCAGGCTAATAATTAAAAGGAAACCTTTTTACAGGCTCGTAACAGGTTTATTTACAAGGCTCATACACTCTAGAACATAGCTTCTCAGACTTTTTCCATCTGTGACCCCTTTCCGCTTGAGAAGTTTTTACCAGACCCCAGACATATAGGTATGTTAAAGAGGTATAAAAACCGAACATTTACTGATAACAAGCTGCCATTGCAAAGTTGGCTAAACAGGCTGGTTTTGCTTTTTGTGGAGTACATCTGAAGCATCTTCTGCAGAATCCACTGTAAACCCTGCACAACAGTTTTGTGTAAACGTCTAAAACAGCTACTGGTCAGAAAACCTTTACTATTGCCAAATTATTCAGGACCCCCACATTAAGCAAATATGACCTCATTTAGGGTTGAAGACACTTCAGAACATTCCACAATAGATGGACTAGTTCCTAAACAGGCTACTCAAATGCAGAACATGACTTCCTGATAAATCAAAATTTGAAATGATCCCCTTAGGTCTCACCTGCTGGAAATGCTGTCTCTCCGGCTCCTTGCTTCTCCGTTGATTTCTGGATCCTGGGCATGATGTTCTGTTGCAGCTGCCTGTAGCACCTCTCTGATGGAAGGGAACTGTCCAACTGCATCCAAAGGGACCTCTTGGCCATTGACTGGAAAAGAAACACTCTGCCTGCTCTCTGCATTGAGCAGCATACCATACATTCCCCTTCCTGATACACTGCTGTAGCTGGAACTATCACTTTCATTGCCATCCAGCCTGATTCCGGCTTCACTTCCATCAATTTCTGACATGCTGTCTCCAGCCAAGGAGGAATTCTCCAACCGGTCATCGGGATCGGGTGTTACCCTGATCTCAGAGATAACAGATGTCAGACTGCTTCGGTTTTGCTTTAGTGATCCACTGGGCGAATCGGTCCCTGGAGCAGCTCCCCTGGGGCTTCCCTCTGCATCTTCAGTCCTATAATCAGCCAGAGATCGAATTCTACTCGACCGGGAAGATTTAGAACTTTTTCTTTCACCTGAATGTGTTGGAAGGCCCAGGCTTCCCAGTTTTGGTCCCCGTGGAACACTCGTTCGCAGAAAGGAGTATTCTTTTGTCATTGCCACAGTGCTGGCTCTCGGCAAGATCTCAGGATTTAGCATCAGTTCAGGATCCAGGGTACTGCAAGGACGATTCTTAGCTGTATACTGCTTTGGAAGAAAACATATATTTTAAACACTATAAATGGAATGGACACTCCTAAGCATTAAAATTAGCATGGGAAACAAAAGGCTGAAAGACCACATGCTGCAATTCTGGCTCCTCTAGAAGCCAAGTCCCTCTCACAGCAGGGTCTGAAATCCTTGACATGAAGCCCAGAAGAAGCAGAGTTATGTGAATTATGAAGTGAATCCATTCACAACAAATATTATGGAATCCACTTGTAGGCTCTTACTCTCTCCTGATGCCTTTTGACACGGTACTGCTTGAGCTGCTCTTCAAGGCGATGTCTTGCCTGAAGCCTGATCTGTTCTTCCTTCTCCAATGGAAGAGAAGAGTCTGTAGAGCCTACAGAATGAAGGGAAGGTATCAGGAATTTTGATGCGTCCCGTGCCCGTGGATATTTTACTTCGAAGAGGAAGATACTATTTTTTTTCAAAACCATAAAAAACAGAAATACCATAAGAAAAGAAGACAGACAGCATCTCAGTTTTAGTGAAGGGATTAGAAGCTACATTCCTTGTTGTTGCTTAAACTATGCTGCTTTAGGGAAAGTTCAAGGAGTGTAGTTCATGCCATAGGTTTACCAGATCCCTGCTCAAGATGGGATCCAGCAGGTACAGAATGTAAACAGCAATGAATAACAGAGATAATACAATTCAAGGCAGCAAAAAACCCCCCAATTACCGCTCACTAGTTGGATCACCCAGTGAATCCCATCTCTACGTAGAATTTTGTTAAATAATAAGGCTCTGCTTACTTTATACTGCCATTTAAAATGTTCTGTTTTAGCCTACTTGTGCAAGTCAGATCAATACTTTAAAAAACAAAACAAAACTAAGCTCCACCTTACAGATGAAGAACTGAACAGACACAAGACTGTCTGTTTTGCTATATACCAAGTGGAAGTCAAAATCATGATTTCTCGGGTATTAGTTCAACCAAGGGATGCATCATATCTTAAGAGAAATTTCTCATAACAATGTTCAAAACAGAAGACCTATGGGGTTGGATGGCCCTTGTGGTCTCTTCCAGCTCTATAGTTCTATGATCTTCCGCTTATGTACAATGTGTGCAGGAGGGATTGGGACAGACAGTGCCTATAATATTTTCATGATCCCGCTCCTCCTTTCTCTGTGCAACATTTATGCGAATAAGTAAAACATGCTTTGTTTTCAAGCATGCAGTGAAAAAAGTGGCCCAGCCCACCCAAAAAGTCCCAACAACATTGTGTAAGCATTGCTATTAAGAGTGCACAGTTCCTTCACTTAGAATGGATGGGTCCACAGCTCTTTCCAGCAAAATGGCATTACTCTCTATTAAGGATGTTGTCTGTGGCAGTGCCTTAATTGCCTATTTTTTTAATCAAAGGAAATGAAATTACTTTCAGACTATGTGTATAAAGGGTACATGGAACATGAATGACTTCTGTGTTTACACTTGGGTCCCATCTCCAAGAGATCTCATTATGTTTATATATGAAAATATACAACTCTTTTAATATCTAAAAAACCCCAAAGCATTTCTGCTCCATAGCATTCTAGATAAGGGATACCCAACCAGTATTACCATTGTCTATATGTTGTAACATGCCGCAGAAACACTTCTGAGTAGAAGGACATAGTATTACACTATAAATAAATAATTTAGCCTCACGTATTTTGGTTTCTTTGCTAAAACGCCATAAAGAGAGGGAGTGTAATAGTTACAAGTTCATTTTGACCATGATTTGGGAGACAGTCACTCTCTCTTAGTTTCACATATCTCACAGGGTGGTTATGGGAATAACAGACAGCATCACTGGAGGAAAGATGGGATATAAGTTTAACTATTGATCAACTAAAATAGTTACGTTGTGCCTAGTATAAGCAATAGTTATGTTAAGTGTTGCATACTTTTATAAAATATCAATAATTAGAATTCTAAAGGGACCATTGATTTTGAACAATCCTAACAGCCACAATTATCCAAACCTGCAACATTAAGTCAAGTAAATAAGTGTGTTAAGCACAGAGTCACAAGCGTCAATTGCTGCAGAACACAAGACATCAGTTCAAGCTTTTAAAGAATCTTTGAAGAGAGAAATTTTGCAGAAACCCCGAGAAAAATGGGAAAACAGCTGCTTTTTTGCAGAGGAAGAGAAAATGGCAGGGGGGCTCTGCCATAAACAGATGCTTACACAATTGAGTCTCTTGCATGGGAAGGCTTAGTTTGAGGGACTGCAACGCTTCCTTCCTAAGAACTACGCCCTCAGCACTAGCTCCCCGGACCGACTTTAGGTTGTCATGGAAACCAGGCACACCTGGAGCTGGTTCTTCCTCATGTGGACCGCCATTGGGATCAAAAGGCAAGGGGAGGTTGGGATAGTGAGACTCTGGTCCGTTTGCACAAGGGCTCTTGCTGCTGTTTGGCACCAGGCTTTCCTCTTTCAGTGGAACTTGGCTCTCCTTTTCACTAGCAACTGGAAAACAGGATAGAATATTGGATTGTGTTGGATTAGCATTCATTACAAACTTTGTGATGGAAGGCAAAGTCACCAATTTGACTTTCTAACTATTATCACAAGATATCCTATGTTTGAAGCAGGGGGTGACACACATGAAAAGGGGGCAGTGGCAACATAAAGAAAGAAGACATGTTTGAAAAACCTTTTGTACATGTTTCATCTGTTGTGTGACACAAAGGTAAAGCTATTGTGATTACTTTATTTCCCAAACAAACATACAACATGCAAGTTATAACCAATCAGAGGTCAAATCTGCCCACAGATCTTAACTTGCAAGTGTTGGCAGGAGACCATCTTATGCACTGTCAGGAAGTTCAGCATGCATTGGCAGGAATATGTATGCATAATGAGTTGTTTACAATAAGATACTATAAATAGACAGCATATATGAAAGCTAATTTAGATTGTTTCTGAATTGTGAGACAAGTAGTTAATAATAGTGCAAGTGCAGTAAGTATTTAAAAAATGTAATTCATGTTGCTGACAAAAATAGAGCTGAACATGAATACACTAATAGCAGTGCAGCAGGTTCATTCTTCTCTTTTAGGATTGTTTTTAATGTTATTTGTCATTTTATTTTAATATTATTATCCATTACTTTATAGAATCATAGAGTTGGAAGAGACCTCATGGGCCATCCTACCAAGAAGCAGGAAAATTGCATTCAAAGCACCCCCGACAGATGGCCATCCAGCCTCTGTTTAAAAGCTTCCAAAGAAGGAGCCTCCACCACACTCTGGGGCAGAGAGTTCCACTGCTGAACGGCTCTCACAGTCAGGAAGTTCTTCCTAATGTTGCACTGCACATTTTCTGTGTGCAATGCAAATGTTATTATGGTTGATTTTAATAAATAATTTTGTAATTTCAAGCGCCTAGTATCTTTCTTTACCATGCTGTAAGGCGTGGGTAGAAATAGAGACACATAAAATAATGTAAATTAATCACTGCATCTTTCTATGTGTTTACTTAGATTTCCAGGGTGCTGGGTACTTTTTTTCTGAAAAGGGGATGGTAAGCCAAATAAGTTTGGAAACCTCTGTTCTAGGGGATGGAAAATTGGCCTCCAGGCCCTCTAAATGTGCCCAACGCTGGCCTAAAGAATCCCAGGCAAAAGAAATTATTTCCTAAAGCAGACAGCGAGCCATCAAATCTAACCCAACCGCTTGTTGCTTAGGAGCAGATCATGGGAAACACAGGACATGGGAGGTTTACCTAGCCCAGGAATGTATAACTCGAGACCACCCCTAAGGCATTTAAGTGTGCTTCCCCAGGTGTGGCCTAACTCCATTCCCAGCTACGACCTAATTAACTTTCTAGAGACTTCCAACCAGTTTCATACAGACTGATCTCTGGAAAAAACAGTCTATACAAAGATATTTTGGGAAGAATGTAAACTTTAAAAAAGAAGAGACCCCAGAGCTGGGAGGGAATGAAAGCATACTAAGTTGGACAAAGGACAAATGTGAAACACCATGAGTTATCTCAATGGGTGACACCAATCCTAGTGATGTCACTGGTCTCCGGACACTACTGAACATCAAGGTGGGGAGGACCAAACAAGCAGCTACCAGAGCAAAGAGGCAACACCCAAGAAGTCCTCTTCAGCCTTTTACCACACTGGAACTCATAGATATCCAATGCAATTGATGGATGGGAACACTGGTCCTACCACTATGCTGGAGAGTGGGGCACAGAGGTGAGGTGGCAAGAGGGCAGAGTGGCACAGCATAAGCTGCCCAGTCTATGAACCTTACTAGTGTTGAACAATAATGGACTCCCAGTCAAACCAGCTTCTGTATGTGAAATGGGGAGGGTACCACTTTGTCCTTCGACTTGGTCATTAAATATCTTTGGAAAGGCCTAATTTGCATTAGATTTAGAGCAGGAAATAAGTACTTCCTTACACGATACACATATAGGCTTGTGAAGGTTTTTTTTTTTTAATGCAAGTGTCTTCTAACTTAAATGGCTCGAAAGGGGTGAGGCTAGATAAATACATGAAGAAGGCTAGGTCTATCAGTGACTACTAGCACTAATGAAACAGCACTTCCACATGCAGAGGCAATATACCACTAAATATCAGCTATGAAGTAAAAGCAAGGGGGGGGGTATTGTGTTAAAGCTTTGCTTGTGGGTCTCTCAAAGCCTCAGCTTGATAAAGTTAGCTTTTTAGATTAAAGCCCAGCTGTATATGCCTACTGGCCATTCCAACTGGGGGATACTAGGAGTTGTGGCCTAAAAGGTAATTTTTTCAAACTCCAAAAACAATATGTTTTTTCTTAAAATAGCAAAAACCAAAAGCTGATCAAAAGGATTGCTTACTATTGAAACTATCTCCTTCTGCTAGCTCATTCAATTTCACCTCAAGGTTCACATGCCTCTCAGAAGTGCATGGGCCACTGTTGTTGGCTTGCTTTTCCAGCAGGACCATTGAAGAGTCCATGGCGGGTGTAGTCAAGATGCAGGGACAATGTTTTCCCTAGCGGGATAACACCTCTTCGAAGTGAACTACGGAGTCCTGTGTGTATCCATAAGCAAGCCTCCTAGCAAGGAGATTGCACAAGACTAAGTCTTTCTCATCTGTTGATTTACAGCAGGCAACTCAGTTCAGTCCAAGTCAAGTTGGCAGGCAATTCCAGAGTTATTGGAGATCACTGAAGTAGCCTGAGGAAGAAAAGGCAATTACCAAATTTCACTACTCTCTGGAAACAAAAGGAGATTTACTTATTTTTCAAAACATACTCCTGGTTCAAGAGATCACATGCATGCATCACATATGCCAAAATCATTTTCCAAAACAATGATCTACATGTAATCAAACCTGCACCAATCATGCATGAGGGATAGCAGCAGGATTGGGGGATTTCAAAGTTTAGGCAAAACAAAAATACACATGGTCAATATACAAAACAGGCCTATGAGGGCTGTTTTGTTGTCATGGAACATTTGTTGCATCTGGGAAGGAGGACCTGAAAACTAAGGGAGAAATAAGGCATAGATTATCCCTAAAATTGCCAGGACAAGCTTGATCTCTGCATTCTACATTTCATTATTATGTTTCCATTGCCACTTATTGACATACAGAAACCCTTCCTTAATAAAACCCATAATGTACCTATTTGCCAATGAAGAAGCAGAGATGGAATTCATCACCACAAAGCAGGAAAGTGGCCACTAATCTTAAAACAAATTATTCAAAGAGGAAGGTATCAAGGGCTATCAATTATGATATTGGTCACTACTGTTTCTCCAACACAGAGAGGGTGCATCTACACTGCAGAATTAATACAGTTCAATGCCACTTTCAGTAATGTCGCTCCATGTTTTGGAATCACAGGAGTTCTAGTTTTACAAGGTATTTAGCCTTCTCTGCCAAAGAGTATTGGAGTATCAGTAAGCTACAAATTCCAAAATTCTCTTGCATTGAGCCATGGCACTTAAAGTGGTGTCAAACTGCATTAATTCTATAGAGTAGATATACTGAAAGCTAGGCAGTTTAAACAAAATTGCTATATCAGCAGCAGGTTTGTGACCTCATGAGAGCAGAGGTGTTCAATGCTTTACTTTCACAATCAATGCTCCGTGTCTTTCATTCATATGGAGAAAATAAGATACAGTGGTGAGCAAAGAAGTACCTTCTACTGTATGTTCCACACAGAATGGGCTCAAACTGACCCGAGACCCTGCACAACATACTCCTTCCTCTTATTCACACAGAACAGCCATGGTTAGAATTGATTTTTTTCCAAATATTTTTGCCTCTTGGAATTAAACTTCTCTTTTATCAGGTCATGAAAATTCAGCATTTATATGGAAATATCTTGCATCACATGAGGACCATTTGTCCATCTAGCCCTGTCCTGTTTGATCTGACTGGTACCTGCTCTCCAGTATCTTGGGCAGAACATGCTCTAGCACATGCTACCTCTTGTTCCTTTTTAAAAGCATTAATAACAAATGAAAACAAACAATAAGTCCTAGGCATAGAGAACTACACACTACAGTCCTATTTGCCAAGTCTGTACAAGCCTAAATCCCAGAAAACTGTCCAATGACCAAGCAAGAGTTCTCAATTAGCGGGTGAAAGGATACTGCATTAGGAAGCATTTTGAATGTGCTGGCTTCCTACTGAGAGAAGGCATGAACTGTCTTCATTACCAGTCCCAGTTGTCCTTTATTATCACCATTCCAATTGTAAAGGAGCCAAACTATTATCCGTCCAACAGTTTCATTTATAGGACTATGCACTTAAAAAAAACAACAGCGGACACATATCTGGCTGAGAAACCACCATATATTCTACTGTGAATGAATGAATTACTCATTAGGATCAGAGTTGGCTGGGAGAAGGAGAACCTGCAGCCAGTCAATGCTGGCCTGCTTCAAAGAGAAGTGAAAAAAGGAAAAGGTTGACTTTACAGATGAACTTTCTTAGGTCCAGTTAAGCAAAGGTTTACCTTTCCTTATATATAAACCCTTGGTCATCCAGCAAATCTGAATGGAAAGAGATTTGAGAAAGATAAAAGAAAATATGAAAAACATAGTTAAACGATGAGGTTAAATTTCACAGGAAATAGCAATGCCAATCAATGTAGAGGTTTCACAAGTAAATAAAGCTATGAATGGCTATGAGTCATGCTGGTTATATATTACCTTCAGTATCAGAGGCAGAAAGCCTCAGTGGTAGTTCCCAGTTAGTTAGGAACATGAGTAGGAGGGTGCTATTGCAGGGATGTCCTGATTGCAGGCGACTCAATAGTATCTAGACTAGAATGCTAGACTAGAAAACTTGTAGTTTGAAACCACATAGGGTTTTTTTTGTTGTTCTTCTTCTTAAATGCATCCTACATTTGAGAAGTTTTCAAAACATTCTACCCATGCATATTGCAGATTATTCAAGAATGTGCTTTAGGGTTAGGAATACTCAAATGCGTTATTAAGTCAGTGTTTTGAAACAAATCAATCTGATGTTCACTTCTAGAACCATTACATCTGACTCTTTCTTGAGTTGTATGGTGCAGCTATGAGGTCAAAATATTACCCAACTGCGTAAAAATATTTTATGTTAAAATGTATTTGGATGTGTCTTCAAAGAGGGTAGCCATATTCATCTTTTGCAGCAAAACTGCTTAATTGTGGCACTCAATAAATACATAATGAAATACTATAGCGTCATGAGTGAATGTATGCAAAATTGTCTGGATACCGGTTGGAAATAGCCCCTTTTTATTTAGAGCACACAATTATTGTATGTAAGAAGGTATTCAGGCCTGTTGCTCATACCCTCATCTTCAATGAATTCCAAGTGTTTGTCTTAGAAGTCATCTCAATTATCTTGCAACAGCAAAATTTCATGGTAATATCAATTTTTCAAGGAAACAGTCAAAATTATTAATCTGCTGCTTCAGAGAACACCATTTGAGAAGTTTTCAAGGAATCCCAAGATCCCCAGAACAATATTTGAAAAACACTGCAATAGACTCTCCTTATATGAAAGGGAAGGTGACATCTTTCCAGGTTGTGTTGAATTGCAACTCCTATGGTCTTTCACCATCAGCAATGCTGCCTAGGGCTGATGCAGGTTGCAGTCCAAAAATATTTGGAAGGTCACACATTCCCCAGCTGCCATATGAGAAAAAATATAAATGGAAGGAATGCATTGATTCATTTTGACTGAATCAATAATTAACAGTTAAGAGGATAGTACAGTAATACTGCTCAGCAAGTCACAATAACCCTTAGAAATGCATGCACAAGATACAAGTCCAGGACCCCCATGCTTATGAACTATATGCAAATGCTGAAATACAGCTTAAAATCAATATTCATAACCCTTCATCTATAAAGTCCTGTAGATTTCATATCTGTATTGTAGGCCAGGCCTCAATCCAAATTAAATCTTCAGTCTACAGTAGAGAGGGAAAGGCAAAAGGGATGATTTTCCACCTTTTTCCATGCCACCCAGGGGAAAAAAAGATATACTATATTTCTTCAGTTCTAAGACACAATTGATTGCAAAATGCACATTACTTTCAGAACCACCAACTGAAAAAAGCTTTATATATTTGTGTGTTTGTGTGTGTCTCTGTATCTCTCTCTCTCTCTCTCTCTATATATATATATATATATATATATCTCATGGGACTACGGTGACACAGTGGGTTAAACCACAGAATATGCTGACCGGAAGTTTGGCGGTTCGAATCTGTGGGATGGGGTGAGCTACCGTTGTTAGCCACAGCTTCTACCAACCTAACAGTTTGAAAAGATGCAAATGTGAGGAGATCAATAGGTACTGCTTCGGCGGGAAGGTAACAGCGCTCCATGCAGTCATGCTGGCCACATGACCGTCTATGTCATCTACTGACAACGCCAGCTCTTTGCCTTAGAAATGGAGATGAGCCACCTCTTTTCTGAACCACTCCTGGAAGGCTATGTAGCCCCTTCCAGCTTCTGTTAAATATTAAACAATTTTTGAAAGCAATCTTTCAAATCCAAAAGTGGGCCATCGCCATTCCTAGTTTGCCCATTTGTTTTGGCAGCATACCCTGAGGACCCCAGAGGCGGGGAAGCCTCCCTTGGGCCCACCACATCTGCTTATGCTTGGGGTCAGAGCATCAGACTGAGAGTGGGTTCCTATCCTTTCCACTTCAATCATAAACTAGCAAGGCTAAAGGCTGGGAGGGACCACATCTGAATCTTCAGGGGGGATGATGAGGCATTTAAAAGCATTCCCTATATCAGTCCTCGGATGGGAGAATGCGAAGGAATCCTTGGTGCCATAGGGCTCTCTTTCAGAGTAAGGTGCAGGCCAAAAAAACCCCCAGAAAACCACCTCTGATTAGTCTTCCTTGCTTACGAAAGCCCTGGGGGGAGGGGGAGGGGGGGAATCATGGAATTGCTCTAAGTTGACAGGCAACATTATTATTATTATTATTATTATTATTATTATTATATTTACATGCATATAACAACACAGCATACATGCATATTAAGTCCAAGTAATAATAATAATTATTATTAGTTACTCGCATCTCCTAATGGCTAGGGTGGGGTAGAACACAGCCAAAACAGATCAACATAAAATATAAACACAACCTGGAGGGCTCACACAAGATCTGACCTTGGAGTCTCTCTTCCCAGGCGCTCAGCTGATTCAACAAGGAGGATGGAAATGTCAGTGATGGTGACGATGATGATGATGTGTGCCTATGGGCCTTCACGTGGGGCAACCCTCATGCATTTCACAGGACCCCCAGGCTTTGCTGAAGCGAGGGATCCTGTGTGCAGTTCCTTCCTGGAAAAAGAGCCTCCAGCCCCGCAGATTCCTTGGCAGTCCTTCTGGGTTGAGGGCCTGTTTATTTTGTTTTTCCCTTCTGGGCTGCCGCTCCCAGAATCCCCCAGACAGCTGGGAGTGACAAGAAGGCGGCGGCGAAGAAACCCCTCACGCTCGGGAAGCCCTGGCTTGATTCCCCGCCCCAAATGTACCTCGGAAGCGCTCCGTCCTCCGAAGGCCTGCCCACAGAGAGCCTTCCCAGCCCAGGCAGCCGTGCTCCCCCGCCTCAGAACAGAAGCCGCCCCCAGGCCCCGGACTTGCCTACGCCGGATCCCTCGGAGACGTGGCGCTCCTGCTGCTACTGCTGCTGCCGCGGCTGCTTCAGGCCGAGGGAGGGAGGGGGCGGTGTGCCACCTTTCTCCTTCCCCGCCCCAAACGCCTCCCCGGCGCCGGAGGGTTCCGCCCTCTCGCGCATGCGCCCCTCGGACCTCAGCCGCCGGGGAAAACAAAACAGGGGCGGGGCCGACTGCGCTGGCTGGCAGGCGGCGGAACGTTTCCTTTCGTGGCGGACGGTTTATGCCGCCGGACTGCTGGGAGTGGAGAGGCCTCTGTGGAGCCTCGGTGACGCCAGCGTCTCTTCTGGGGGCTCTTTTTCTGCGTTGCTCCTCCCTGCGGCCCGAGGAGGCTTCCCTCCACGTCAGAATGGGGCCGGACTATGGTTGAACGTCAAAGGGGAGCGAGCAGAGTAGCATTCCGCATTCAAATACGGCGCTTTGACAGAGCCCGTGGAGACACCCGCTCAAGTAGTACCTCCCCATTGCATTCAATGGGGCTGACTCTCAGGGAAGGGTTGGAACAGTGGGTTATAGACGTCATTTCTTCTTGTCTTACTGTGTTAGTCTCTGCTCATTGAGAAGAAGACCTACAAGCCACGCTAAACACCTAGCATAGGAGAAGCTCGGCCTCTCACTGAACATTGAGAAAACCAACGTGCTCTTCCAGCACTCACCAACCAACCCCTCTCCAATGCCAGAGATACAGCTTAATGGTGTAACTTTAGAAAACGTTGACCATTTCTGCTACCTTGGCAGCCACCTCTCCACAAAAGTGAACATTGACACTGAAATACAACACCACCTGAGCTCTGCGAGTGCAGCATTTTTATTTACAGTATTTATATTCCGCCCTTCTCACCCCGCAGGGGACTCAGGGCGGATTACAATGTACATATACATAGCAAACATTCAATGCCGTAGACACACAACATATATAGACAGACACTCAGAGACTGTTTAACCATCCAGCTTTTTCATGAGGGTTTTCTGCCACTAGGAGAGCTGTCGCTTCACTGTCCATTTGTGACACTGATGAAGTACTTCCTCATTCTTTGCATGCTTGCTGAAGATTTTTATGGCCTCATAAATTAGTTAAATTAGCCACCCCACATAAGTGATACCTTAATTTCCTACTTGACAGATGCAACTGTCTTTTGGGCTGCAAAGGTCGACAACAAGCTACACAAATTGGTCGGAAACTCAGTCCAACCCGAGCTGGCTTCGAAGTCATGACCTTTCGGTCAGTAGTGATCTTAATGCAGCTGTCTCCCAGCCAGCTGCTCCACAGTCCAGGTGCACCAAATGAAGCACAGTGTGTGTGAGGATCTGAACCTCTGTAGGGATACTGAGGTGCTTGTTTATAAAGCCATTGACTTTCCAACCCTGTCAATGCCTGGAAATGTGGACTGTCAACCAATGTCACACTCAACTCCTGGAACAACTCCATCAGCATTGCCTCCAAAAAAATCAATTGGATCCACTATGTTTTAAATCTGTTGGAACCACTGTGTTTTAAATGTGCTTTTAACTAATTTTTTACTGTTTATTGTTTCAATTGCTTATTTGCTTTTTGTTTTCCTTTATTAACTTGTCATTTATTTTGTATATATTGTTTATTGTGTTTTACTCATGTTGTGAGCTGCCCCGAGTCCTTTCGGGGAGATGAGTCAGGATAAAACTAAAGATTATTATTATTATTATTATTATTATTCTGCAAATCTCTTGGGAAAATAGGCAGAGAAATGCCAGTATCCTGGAAGAAGCAAAGACCACCAGCATTGAAGGGATGCTCCTACACCATCAACTCCACAGGACTGAATGTCACGTTGTCTGAATGCCCAATCACCGCCTCCCAAAGCAGTTAGTCTACTCCCAACTCAAGAATGGAAAACAGAATGTTAGTGGACAGGGAAAGAGATTTAAAGATGGGCTTAAAGCCAACCTTAAAAACTGTGGCATAGACACTGAGAACTGGGAAGCTCTGGCCCTTGGGCGTACTAACTGGAGGTCAGCTGTTACCAACAGTGCTGTGGAATTTAAAGAGACACAAATGGAGGGTGAAAGGGAGAAACGTGTCAAGAGGAGAGTGCGTCAAGCCAACCCTGACCAGGACTGCCACCTGGAAACAGAAACCAATGTCCTCACCGTGAAAGAATATGCAGGTCAAGAATAGGTCTCTACAGTCAATTGCGGATCCACCACCAAGATCCTACACTTGGAAGGCAATCATATTCGAACACAAATGATCACCAATGATTATGATTACACTATGTAACAAGATTGTTGTTCCTGGGTTATAAATGTCATTTCCTAATTGGTCCTATCATAAAAGCATGGAAAGGTTTATAAAACTGCAAAAACTTTGTCTTTGTGGGAGGGACATCCTGCAGCACATTTTGCTCCAGTTTTTCAATAAATATCTCATTGAGTCTCAAGCGATCCAGTCTAGTTTGTGGCAGCCACAAAAACTAAGTTTATCAAGTAGAACAACTAGTTTCAAAGTAAGTACCGCACAATTAAATAACATTTTCAAACCAGGAACAGATTTTTTTCAGATTTTGTTACACAGTATTATTATTTTACTAAAACCGCTAGCTGCAGGACATCTGCTGACAGAAAGGTCAGCAGTTTGAAGCTGCTAGTCAGGATGAACTCCTGGCTGTCAGCCCTAGCTTTTGCCTACCTGGCAGTTCGAAAGCATGTAAAAGGGCGCCCCATGCAGACATGCCAGTAACGATTGGAGAAAGTCTATGGACAACAGGCTCCTCAGCATGGAAAAATTGAACACAATCACCTCTAGACGCCAGAGATGGAAAGGGGAAGGGTTTTACCTCTGTCTGTGTATTGTATTAATTTGTTACTGTGTTAAGAGGCATTGAATGTCTTGCCTTATGTATGTAAAACTGAAATCTGCTCTGAGTCCCTCTGGGGAGATAAAGCGGAATATAAATAAAATGCATTATTAGTATTATTTATACCCCATTTTTTCTCTCCACAAAGAAGATTCAAAGCAGCTTACAAGAAAAGTTTTTCAATACGATTTAGAGTTTGAAGGAACACCCCCCCCCCCCAAAAAAAAAAGATAAGTTCCTTCTGCCAGGCAGGAAGGCACTAACTGTTTATTAAACTTCAACATCTTTGTTTTTACAGAAGAGACATCCTGCAGCACATTTTGCTATAGTTTTTTCAATGACTATCTCACCTCATTCTTCACTAAAAGCTTGATGGCAGAGGTATGTCTTCACCTGCCTGCAAAAAGCAAACATTTATTTTTCATATACACCTTACACGCAGCACTTAAAAGGAATTCTATGCACAATGTTTCTAATTGTTTTGTGCAGGAAACAAAGTTTGTGTTCATTGAACTATCGGAAAACAAAGCTGTTGCCATCTTGTCCACTTAGGTGGACAGTTTTGAACTTTGAAATATTTTGGATTTCAGAATTCCAGATAAGGGATGCTCAACCGGCGCATATATATATATATATATATATATATATATATATATATATATATACACACACACACACACACACACACACACACACACACATATATGTATAGAGAGTGAGTGATCTCTATCGTGTATTCTGAAAAACCTATTAGTGTAAAAACAAACAAAAAGTCTTTTGACACCTTTAAAACAAAGCAGTTTTATTTGGCATAACCCAGAGAACGTTTGTTGTGGACCAAAACCCCATTTTTTGTTTTTGGCTACAAGTCATGCTAGCAGTTTGTGTATGTGATTTCAGTCAGATTGATGCCTGTCAACAGAAACCCCTAGAAATGGGGATTACAGCTGTACAGACATGTAAATTATTATCATTATTATTATCTTTTATTTCTCTCCCATCTTTCTCCTCACAGGAATTCAAGGTGGCTAACAATAATTTAAAATAACCTAATATAAATTTAAAATAAGACAAATACAAAAGATTTTTTTTTTAAAAAAAATTAAATATCTGTGAGTGGATATAATGTTAAAATGCAGTTAAAATACAATAAATACAGTTAAAATTGCCGGGGTTTTTTAAAATTGTAAGACACCATCAATTGGAAGGCACACCTTCATTTCAATACCACCAATAATAACAAAAATACATAAGATACACCTGCGATTCAAAGACGCACCCTGTTTTTAGAGATGTTTATATATGGAAAAAGTGCATCTCCACATGTGAATGGACATTTTCCTCCCTTTTCTTTATATCCCCAGATCTTGAATGCAAGGCGCTCTGCCTCACAGAAGCAACAGTCAGGACTTATATTTAAGTATATATAGTTTCTTTGTCTTCATAAGTCTTCGCTGCACCATACAACATGCGTCCACTAGGGAGCATTAAGAATCACTAAAATGATTCACCATGAACCCAAGTTCACAGTGTAGGTGATGTCTGCGGGCCTTGGCTAAGAAAATCTGTCTGAGCTGTCCAGCAAGTTTGTTTTTGCCAAAAATTGATCACTTTAGAAATAAGCAGAGGAAAAAGAAGGGACTAAATTATTACATTGGGCTTTTTAGAATCATTCAGCTGCTTTGTACAAGAGAGAGCACCCATTTCTCTGTCTTTTTCCAATCTTCATGAAATATCCAAAACAGTGCCAGTTCGTAAGGTTACTAAGCATATGAGACCCAGGCCTGTAGTGGGGGGGGGGGGGGGGGTTTAGGGGTTCAACCCCCCCCCCGAAATGTTTCAGATTTTTTAAAAAAAACTGGTTTACTCACGAATTTTAACTGGTTAACCAAATCCCCATGCTAAGTCACTGTTGTATGTTTTTATGTTGAATGTTTTTATATTGTGTACATGCTATTTTATTTATTTATTTATTTATTTATTTAGAAGTTTTGTATACTGGTCTTCTCACCTCGAATGAGGGACTCAGGCCGGTTCACAATATGTGTTCAAATACAATAATATACAAAAACAACACAGTGCATCATCATTACAGATTAAAATACAATAAAAACATCATCACATTACCCAAGCCAAGTTGTCAATACAGTCACAGTCACAGTTCATCATCCTCCTTCCATGTGGACGAAGTTTATAGAATCAGTCCTCAAATGCCACGTTCCAAAGCCAGGTCTTTATTAGTTTCCTGAGGGTCAGGAGGGAGGGAGCAGATC